TTACCTTAGGGAACCTTCTGTCTTTCCGCCTTTACTTTATGGAACCTTCTGTCTTTCCACCTTTACTTTAGGGAACCTTCTGTCTTTCCACCTTTACTTTAGGGAACCTTCTGTCTCTCCACCTTTACTTTAGGGAACCTTCTGTCTTTCCACCTTTACTTTAGGGAACCTTATGTCTTTCTACCTTTACTTTAGGGAACCTTCTGTCTTTCTACCTTTACCTTAGGGAACCTTTTGTCTTTCCACCTTTACTTTAGGGAACCTTCTGTCTTTCTACCTTTACCTTAGGGAACCTTCTGTCTTTCCACCTTTACTTTAGGGAACGTTATGTCTTTCTACCTTTACTTTAGGGAACCTTCTGTCTTTCCACCTTTACTTTAGGGAACCTTCTGTCTTTCCACCTTTACTTTAGGGAACCTTCTGTCTTTCCACCTTTACTTTAGGGAACCTTCTGTCTTCCCACCTTTACTTTAGGGAACCTTATGTCTTTCTACCTTTACTTTAGGGAACCTTCTGTCTTTCTACCTTTACTTTAGGGAACCTTCTGTCTTTCTACCTTTACTTTAAGGAACCTTCTGTGTTTCCACCTTTACTTTTGGGAACCGTCTGTCTTTCCACCTTTACTTTAGGGAACCTTATGTCTTTTACCTTTACTTTAGGGAACCTTCTGTCTTTCTACCTTTACCTTAGGGAACCTTCTGTCTTTCCACCTTTACTTTATGGAACCTTCTGTCTTTCCACCTTTACTTTAGGGAACCTTCTGTCTTTCCACCTTTACTTTAGGGAACCTTCTGTCTCTCCACCTTTACTTTAGGGAACCTTCTGTCTTTCCACCTTTACTTTAGGGAACCTTATGTCTTTCTACCTTTACTTTAGGGAACCTTCTGTCTTTCTACCTTTACCTTAGGGAACCTTCTGTCTTTCCACCTTTACTTTAGGGAACCTTCTGTCTTTCTACCTTTACCTTAGGGAACCTTCTGTCTTTCCACCTTTACTTTAGGGAACGTTATGTCTTTCTACCTTTACTTTAGGGAACCTTCTGTCTTTCCACCTTTACTTTAGGGAACCTTCTGTCTTTCCACCTTTACTTTAGGGAACCTTCTGTCTCTCCACCTTTACTTTAGGGAACCTTCTGTCTTCCCACCTTTACTTTAGGGAACCTTATGTCTTTCTACCTTTACTTTAGGGAACCTTCTGTCTTTCTACCTTTACTTTAGGGAACCTTCTGTCTTTCTACCTTTACTTTAAGGAACCTTCTGTGTTTCCACCTTTACTTTTGGGAACCGTCTGTCTTTCCACCTTTACTTTAGGGAGGCTTATATTCTTTCCACTTTTACTTTAGGGAACTTTTTGTCTTTCCACCTTTACTTTAGGGAGGCTTTTATTCATTCCAACTTTACTTTAGGGAGGCTTATATTCTTTCCACTTTTACTTTAGGGAACCTTCTGTCTTTCCACCCTTACTTAAGGGAACCTTCTGTCTTTCTACATTTACTTTAGGGAATCTTCTGTCTTTCTACCTTTACTTTAGGGAACCTTCTGTCTTTCTACCTTTACTTTAAGGAACCTTCTGTGTTTCCACCTTTACTTTTGGGAACCGTCTGTCTTTCCAGCTTTACTTTAGGGAGGCTTATATTCTTTCCACTTTTACTTTAGGGAACTTTTTGTCTTTCCACCTTTACTTTAGGGAGGCTTTTATTCATTCCACCTTTACTTTAGGGAGGCTTATATTCTTTCCACTTTTACTTTAGGGAACCTTCTGTCTTTCCACCTTTACTTAAGGGAACCTTCTGTCTTTCTACCTTTACTTTAGGGAATCTTCTGTCTTTCTACCTTTACTTTAGGGAACCTTCTGTCTTTCTACCTTTACTTTAAGGAACCTTCTGTGTTTCCACCTTTACCTTAGGGAACCTTCTGTCTTTCCACCTTTACTTTAGGGAACGTTATGTCTTTCTACCTTTACTTTAGGGAACCTTCTGTCTTTCCACCTTTACTTTAGGGAACCTTCTGTCTTTCCACCTTTACTTTAGGGAACCTTCTGTCTCTCCACCTTTACTTTAGGGAACCTTCTGTCTTCCCACCTTTACTTTAGGGAACCTTATGTCTTTCTACCTTTACTTTAGGGAACCTTCTGTCTTTCTACCTTTACTTTAGGGAACCTTCTGTCTTTCTACCTTTACTTTAAGGAACCTTCTGTGTTTCCACCTTTACTTTTGGGAACCGTCTGTCTTTCCACCTTTACTTTAGGGAGGCTTATATTCTTTCCACTTTTACTTTAGGGAACTTTTTGTCTTTCCACCTTTACTTTAGGGAGGCTTTTATTCATTCCAACTTTACTTTAGGGAGGCTTATATTCTTTCCACTTTTACTTTAGGGAACCTTCTGTCTTTCCACCTTTACTTAAGGGAACCTTCTGTCTTTCTACATTTACTTTAGGGAATCTTCTGTCTTTCTACCTTTACTTTAGGGAACCTTCTGTCTTTCCACCTTTACTTTAAGGAACCTTCTGTGTTTCCACCTTTACTTTTGGGAACCGTCTGTCTTTCCAGCTTTACTTTAGGGAGGCTTATATTCTTTCCACTTTTACTTTAGGGAACTTTTTGTCATTCCACCTTTACTTTAGGGAGGCTTTTATTCATTCCACCTTTACTTTAGGGAGGCTTATATTCTTTCCACTTTTACTTTAGGGAACCTTCTGTCTTTCCACCTTTACTTAAGGGAACCTTCTGTCTTTCTACCTTTACTTTAGGGAATCTTCTGTCTTTCTACCTTTACTTTAGGGAACCTTCTGTCTTTCTACCTTTACTTTAAGGAACCTTCTGTGTTTCCACCTTTACTTTTGGGAACCGTCTGTCTTTCCACCTTTACTTTAGGAAGGCTTCTATTCATTCCACTTCTTACAAACCTCCCTTCATAAGGTGCTGCCTCTTACAAACCGGCTAAACAAGAAGTTTGACAGTTTTCCTCTTCAACTGGCTAGGATCGAGATCTATAAGTCACGTAAGTTATTTCTGATATTTTCCTTCTTACCTTTTCAAATTCTTCGAATTCTTCAAAACCGAACACAACTAATATTGTTACTAATATTGTTACTAATATTGTTACTAATATTGTTACTAATATTGTTACTAATATTGTTACTAATATTGTTACTAATATTACAGTTGTGTATTACCAGGAGGAATGGTTGGTGGGATGGGAGCAGCAGCTGAAGTGATAATCCCGTGTAGGAAGGATGACACGAGCGAGGCGAGGATGGTGCGACAATCCAAGTGTAAGGAACAAACTAAACACACTACCACCATATTCAAATACTGCTGCTGCACTTTCCTCATGCTCATAGGAGCCCTCATACTCATTCCTATTATTGCTACGGAGATACTTAACAGACAGAAAGCAACTGTTGTGAACGGTAGCTAATTAGTTACCATGGTTACTAAATGGTTACTAATTAGGTTATTAACGTCATTCATTATTCAGTGATTATTCGCAACGAAAATTGTTTATTATAATGCGAACATAGTTTTCATCGGTCTCATATTTATTGGGAGTTTTGATTTTCTAGACAATACATCCCAAAAAACGATTCAGATGCTTTTCTGTATTCCTGATAGTGAAACACTGAACTGAATTATTTTGTTTTTCTGTAACGTTTCTAAAACATAACGATAAGTTTACATTAAATACAAATCCCTAGTGAAGATAGTAATAGCAAATACCCCTAGTGAAGATAGTATCAACTCCTCCCTGCTACTAGAGTAGAATACTACTAGATTTAAGGTGTCTGTTAGGTGTTAAGTAGTGATGTTATAAATAAGTTTATAAAAATAAATGTTGAAAATTAGTAATTTTCAATAGCAGCTGGTGGAAATAACTAACTTACAACATACAGGGTGGCCCAAAAGCAACTACCCACACACAACTGGGCGTCACAACCCTTTAATCGTCACCCAATCAGTGATCTTATCGGCAGCTACTCCCTAACGTGGAACAATGAGCCTCATTAGGCGGTACCAAACATGTTGGGGGATGACGATCTGATCACTTTGAGTGATATTCGCGTTATATCGCTTGCCCTATAAGCAGTCTCGAACCAATCAGACGGTTGATTGAGTGAGGAGATCACTGGTTAAGTCTTGTGATCAAGTTGAAGTATCCACCAGATTTTATAACTCGGCTGAAATTCTGGGAAATCACTCGAATTATGAAACCAAATGTGTCTATAAATTTTGGAGTTCCTAACTCAAAGCGTTCTCACTTTATGGCGACAATAGTGAAAAAGAGGGAGTGGCGTGCCACAACTTTCAGAAAATTCTAAGTTTGTGAAACTCTGACACGAATTACGTGAGTTATTAAAGGGTTGCGTTGTTTCCCACTTGGCTGACGGTCGGCCTCCACTCTCTAAAAAATTACCTTAAGTGAAGGCCGATGATCAACAAATAGCGATGTTAGAGCTTGGTGTGAATAAATCCTGACCTCCTTTTACACCATTGGAGTCGACTCTCACAAATGCGAGAGGAAAGATCCTTGGGAGGACACCATTGGTTTTGGTAGGTTGCATATTTCTTCTTATATTTGATCCTTTGAACAGCTGTTGAGCAATGAAACGCAAACATAATCTTAGCAAAATGAATATATTTCTTTTATCTTCAGCATTTAATCAGTCACATAATCTGAGAATATCAATGGTTAGTTTGAAAATGTCAAAAATTCTCATCAAAAATGTAGTAAAGTCTCAAAAAATTAATTTAGCATCTCGTAAAAATGGAATAGTTTAAAATGCATATTGCATATTTCTTTTTTAAATAAATAAATAAAAATAAATTTTTTTTAAAAAGGGTCGCGTGTGGGTTGTTTTTTATTTGGGCCACCCTGGATAATATGCAGCTAATAAACATTAAACAGTTCCCTAATTATTCAACCTAATTTTGTCGAATCAACGTTACACCCCTGTATGCGTAAGTGTAATCTTTATTACCTTGAAATGAGATGCCATTAGTGATGTTACCACTGTACTCCCAGCAGCTTATGATAGAATTTATGGTTGATAACACGTCCCTCCCCATCTCTACAAAGCAGCTCTCTAGCAGCATGTCTAGCAGCATGTCAGTAACCATGGTAACAAAGCAGCTGTCTTCTCAGAAGAGGCTAGATCTATACGACCCGTGCCACGCCGCCCTCGTGCTAGCTCAGATAAACAAGTACGGAAGTTTAAATGAAATTTAAATAAACTGTTCTACTTCATACTAACTGTTATCTTACTCTAATGAAAGAAACTTCACTCAAATTCCACTTTCTCTTTCACTTTTACTGATGATTAATATTCGCAGGTTGTTGGAGATAGGGAAACTAAGTGACGTGTGTATTAAGTGCGGAGTTGAGACCTTCACTTCTAGCCAGCTCCTTCTCTCGGCTAACAGTCATTACTTCAAAGCAATGTTCCTAAATGAGTACGGCTAAGAGCAAAGGACTATTTAATATATTATTATCATGTGTTCTAACTTCTACTAGAGAGTGAGAGTAGTATTAGCGCTGCACTACCATGAGCCTTATCTAATTTAATGAGGTCACATGTTAATTATTGCAGAGAAGTATTTTTATAGTTTTAAGAATGACAGAATTTGACGATTTTCAGCTTTGGTGAGAGCAGAAAAAGAGAAGTAACTATTGAAGATGTTGACCCCGACATCTTGAAATCCTTGATAGACTTTTGTTCCACATCTCGTTTAACAATAACGAGCGACAATGTTTTCGAAATCTTCAATGCTGCCAACAGGTCAAAATTAAAACCTTGTTTAAAAGTAAAAGTGAAAGTGGAACAGTTGCACTTTTAGGTCCGTTTGATATTATGATTGCGATGTATAAATATAATGGTGGGACAAGTGACATGATGTAATGGTGGGACAAGTGACATGATGTAATGGTGGGACAAGTGACATGATGTAATGGTGGGACAAGTGACATGATGTAATGGTGAGACAAGTGACATGATGTAATGGTGGGACAAGTGACATGATGTAATGGTGAGACAAGTGACATGATGTAATGGTGGGACAAGTGACATGATGTAATGGTGGGACAAGTGACACGATGTAATGGTGGGACAAGTGACATGATGTAATGGTGGGACAAGTGACATGATGTAATGGTGGGACAAGTGACACGATGTAATGGTGGGACAAGTGACATGATGTAATGGTGGGACAAGTGACACGATGTAATGGTGGGACAAGTGACATGATGTAATGGTGGGACAAGTGACATGATGTCATGGTGGGACAAGTGACATGATGTAATGGTGGGACAAGTGACATGATGTAATGGTGGGACAAGTGACATGATGTAATGGTGGGACAAGTGACATGATGTAATGGTGGGACAAGTGACACAATGTAATGGTGGGACAAGTGACATGATGTAATGGTGGGACAAGTGACATGATGTAATGGTGGGACAAGTGACATGATGTAATGGTGGGACAAGTGACATGATGTAATGGTGAGACAAGTGACATGATGTAATGGTGGGACAAGTGACATGATGTAATGGTGAGACAAGTGACATGATGTAATGGTGGGACAAGTGACATGATGTAATGGTGGGACAAGTGACACGATGTAATGGTGGGACAAGTGACATGATGTAATGGTGGGACAAGTGACATGATGTAATGGTGGGACAAGTGACACGATGTAATGGTGGGACAAGTGACATGATGTAATGGTGGGACAAGTGACACGATGTAATGGTGGGACAAGTGACATGATGTAATGGTGGGACAAGTGACATGATGTCATGGTGGGACAAGTGACATGATGTAATGGTGGGACAAGTGACATGATGTAATGGTGGGACAAGTGACATGATGTAATGGTGGGACAAGTGACATGATGTAATGGTGGGACAAGTGACACAATGTAATGGTGGGACAAGTGACATGATGTAATGGTGGGACAAGTGACATGATGTAATGGTGGGACAAGTGACATGATGTAATGGTGGGACAAGTGACATGATGTAATGGTGGGACAAGTGACATGATGTAATGGTGGGACAAGTGACATGATGTAATGGTGAGACAAGTGACATGATGTAATGGTGGGACAAGTGACATGATGTAATGGTGGGACAAGTGACATGATGTAATGGTGGGTCAAGTGACATGATGTAATGGTGGGACAAGTGACATGATGTAATGGTGGGACAAGTGACATGATGTAATGGTGGGTCAAGTGACATGATGTAATGGTGGGACAAGTGACATGATGTAATGGTGGGACAAGTGACATGATGTAATGGTGGGACAAGTGACATGATGTAATGGTGGGACAAGTGACATGATGTAATGGTGGGACAAGTGACATGATGTAATGGTGGGACAAGTGACATGATGTAATGGTGGGACAAGTGACATGATGTAATGGTGGGACAAGTGACATGATGTTATGGTGGGACAAGTGACATGATGTAATGGTGGGACAAGTGACATGATGTAATGGTGGGACAAGTGACATGATGTAATGGTGGGACAAGTGACACGATGTAATGGTGGGACAAGTGACACGATGTAATGGTGGGACAAGTGACATGATGTAATGGTGGGACAAGTGACATGATGTAATGGTGGGACAAGTGACATGATGTCATGGTGGGACAAGTGACATGATGTAATGGTGGGACAAGTGACATGATGTAATGGTGGGACAAGTGACATGATGTAATGGTGGGACAAGTGACATGATGTAATGGTGGGACAAGTGACACAATGTAATGGTGGGACAAGTGACATGATGTAATGGTGGGACAAGTGACATGATGTAATGGTGGGACAAGTGACATGATGTAATGGTGGGACAAGTGACATGATGTAATGGTGAGACAAGTGACATGATGTAATGGTGAGACAAGTGACATGATGTAATGGTGGGACAAGTGACATGATGTAATGGTGGGACAAGTGACATGATGTAATGGTGAGACAAGTGACATGATGTAATGGTGGGACAAGTGACATGATGTAATGGTGGGACAAGTGACATGATGTAATGGTGGGACAAGTGACATGATGTAATGGTGGGACAAGTGACATGATGTAATGGTGGGACAAGTGACATGATGTAATGGTGGGACAAGTGACATGATGTAATGGTGGGACAAGTGACATGATGTAATGGTGGGACAAGTGACATGATGTAATGGTGGGTCAAGTGACATGATGTAATGGTGGGACAAGTGACATGATGTAATGGTGGGACAAGTGACATGATGTAATGGTGGGACAAGTGACATGATGTAATGGTGGGACAAGTGACATGATGTAATGGTGGGTCAAGTGACATGATGTAATGGTGGGACAAGTGACATGATGTAATGGTGGGACAAGTGACATGATGTAATGTTGGGTCAAGTGACATGATGTAATGGTGGGACAAGTGACATGATGTAATGGTGGGACAAGTGACATGATGTAATGGTGGGACAAGTGACATGATGTAATGGTGGGACAAGTGACATGATGTAATGGTGGGACAGGTGACATGATGTAATGGTGGGACAAGTGACATGATGTAATGGTGGGACAAGTGACATGATGTGATGGTGGGACAAGTGACATGATGTGATGGTGGGACAAGTGACACAACATTCCTCAGGTTCGGGTTCAGGAGTGTAGAAGATACGTGCTGTGAGTTTCTGAAGAGTATGCTCTCAGTCGACAACCATCTTAAACTCTGGCACTTTGGTGATGAAAGGTCAGTAGCATGGTGTGTCAATAAGAAAATAAATGACAAAAGCGAGCGGTACATCATATCATTTCTTTTTGTGGTAAATGAAACCACTGCCCGTTCAAAGGAGCATTGTTAATGTTTATATTTGCAGAGGAGCTGCAGAGTTAGTGGGATGGTGTGATCAGTTCATAAGAGAAAATATACTCCGAATATTCGGCACGCAAGCGTAGGATGATTAGTTAATAAATTTGCTGAATTTTATAAGTAAATTATCTGATTATTTCGGTTGAGTTTTTAAATTGCCGAAATAAAAACTTCATGGTAAGGTTACTAGCACCCAGGGATGAAGATTATTTGCTTATTATGTTTAACTTCTCCCTCTAATAAACTTCGTAACTCCACCAGATGGCTAGAGTACCCCTTAGAGTTAGTGAGGACGGTAGCTGGGTCCAATTATTTAACTATTTACAACGAGAGTCAACTGTTCGAGGGTCTTATCACGTGGGTGAAACACGACCCTCATATCAGATTACAGTTTCTTACTGAACTCTTCGCTTGTATCAGGTGTGTACCCTCATATCAGATTACAGTTTCTTACTGAAATCTTCGCTTGTATCAGGTGTGTGCCCTCATATCAGATTACAGTTTCTTACTGAACTCTTCGCTTGTATCAGGTGTGTGCCCTCATATCAGATTACAGTTTCTTACTGAACTCTTCGCTTGTATCAGGTGTGTACCCTCATATCAGATTACAGTTTCTTACTGAACTCTTCGCTTGTATCAGGTGTGTGCCCTCATATCAGATTACAGTTTCTTACTGAACTCTTCGCTTGTATCAGGTGTGTGCCCTCATATCAGATTACAGTTTCTTACTGAACTCTTCGCTTGTATCAGGTGTGTGCCCTCATATCAGATTACAGTTTCTTACTGAACTCTTCGCTTGTATCAGGTGTGTACCCATTTTTTCCCGATCCATGACTCAAGTGCCGAAGGCACAAAAGAGTCAAGGAAAAGAGTCTGTAACCTCTCTGTAACTGCTCTGTAACCACTCTGTAACCGCTCTGTAACCACTCTGTAACCGCTCTGTAACCACTCTGTAACCGCTCTGTAACCACTCTGTAACCACTCTGTAACCACTCTGTAACCGCTCTGTAACCACTCTGTAACCGCTCTGTAACCACTCTGTAACCGCTCTGTAACCGCTCTGTAACCACTCTGTAACCGCTCTGTAACCGCTCTGTAACCGCTCTGTAACCACTCTGTAACCGCTCTGTAACCGCTCTGTAACTGCTCTGTAACCGCTCTGTAACCGCTCTGTAACCGCTCTGTAACCGCTCTGTAACCGCTCTGTAACTGCTCTGTAACCTCTCTGTAACCGCTCTGTAACCGCTCTGTAACCGCTCTGTAACCGCTCTGTAACCGCTCTGTAACTGCTCTGTAACCTCTCTGTAACCGCTCTGTAACCGCTCTGTAACCGCTCTGTAACCGCTCTGTAACCGCTCTGTAACTGCTTTGTAACCGCTCTGTAACCACAGTATGCTCAGGTTGGATGTGATCAGTCTGAAGTATTTGTATCACGTAATATCAGAAGAGAAGCTGCTAATGGAAAATAAAGAATGCAGTGCTCTGATAAACCTTGTCAAGGACACCAGGACTCTCCCTCTATCCCTCTCTCCTTCTCCACCTGAATCAAAGTGTTTGTATACTTATACCAGCTTAAATTTAGGCATACTTCTATACTTCTATGTATATGTATTAACTTATATATTATGCTAATGTGTCTTATCAACAATAATTTACCTTATCTAGAATAATTAATCTTATCAAGAATAATTTACCTTATCTAAAACAATTTATCTTATCTAGAATAATTTATCTTATCAAGACTAATTTATCTTATTAATTGATTGCAGCGACGCGTGATATAGGATGCGGTGGCTCTCTCTTCATCATGGGAGGACTTGGCTCGGATAGGGAGCCTTCTAGAATGTTCCAGAGATTTTCTCTCAGGGATATGTCATGGCAAAGTATTATGAGCGTAAGTTAGAGCGAAATTACAAAAACAAAGTACAGAATATGTACTTTCGGCTGCTTCCCCTGAATGTTCTACAACTTTGTAATTTTAAATCTGTTTTACCTTTTTGAAATCATATTTTATGTTTTAATGCAACACGTTTGCAGCACTTATCGTGAGTAGTATAGTGTATATGTAGTTACTATACTTTACTTATGTAAAGTTATAGGTAAATGTCCCACTTGGCCTGGCCTCCAACAATCACATTTTCGAACTTTCAAGATCTTCAAATTTCATCTGCAAAATTACAAGTCCCAAACAACAACAAAAAAGGCTTTTGTTAAGAGTATATGACTAAACCTTTGGGTAGTCCCAGTGGCGTAACTTAGGGCCCCGCAGACCCCGCTGTGCGGGGGGGCGCCGTATAAGGGGGGGCAATTTTCCTGAATTTTAGGCCCTTTCACTGAAAAAAACGCCTTGTTTGTGTATTTCCCTGTCCAATTTAGCGTTCGGCCGACGCGAAAAAAATATTTGGGGTACCCTTTTTTGCTTCAGGGGGCGCAAAAAGCTGTAGGGGGGCGAGAAAAAAAGTACCCGACCTTTTTTTTTTTTTTAATTTTTTTTAGGGACAAAAAATTTTAGGGGGGCGCTTTTCGTCACTGAGCGGGGGGGGGGGGCGCCAACAAGCAAAGTTTCGCCACTGGGTAGTCCCTTTAGGCCAGCCTAAATGATGAATATATTTTAGTTTCCTGATGCAATGTGGGGTGGTGCTGGAGTGGTGGTTGAGGGTTATTTGTTAATGAGTGGGGGGGAAGGAACAGAAACAAGGAACAATCTTACTATCTGCAACCCTGCTATGGTAAGCAACATCTCCACTTTTTATATGCACTAATTCTAGTGTCTGAAATAACGACTAATAAACTGGCTTGTCGCCAATAAATGGAAAACAAACAGACTGACAAACTGACCTACAAACCGACAGTTAGAAGAGAACGATGGTAGAGAGGTGATTTGGGACGCGCTGTCTCCCATGACTATTGCTAGATTTGGGCACGGAATGGTCGAATGTATGGGTTGGGCTTATGTTGTGGGTAAGCTATATATAACAACTTGTAACTTGACAGTACTGTAAAACTCTATATAACACCTTAAAACTTGACAGTACTGTAAAACTTTATATAACACCTTGTAACTTGACAGATTTGAAAAAATTCAAGCTAAAATTGGCAGCATTTTAAAATACCTGATCACGTCTTATTTTGATTATAAATGAGTATGATCGTTTTAGCAGCTGTTATCAAGTCATAATCAACAATATCACGTCAAAATTTGAAGCATTTATTATAATTAATTTGACCAATAATTAAATAGAGTGGACTGCTGCCAGTGTCCCCATTTCCCAAACAAAAGGGAATGATAATTATTTGAATGACCGTTCTCAAATGCAAAATAATACCGAGAATAAAATCGGTCGCTCGCTTCTCCCATTCATTCACGGCTTACTAATTGTAATAAGTTTTGGTTTATGACATCAATCAAACTCGTGAAAATCTCTAGGATTGCTTTCGGGCCGATACCCAGCACTTCGGAATAAGGGCGGTAGTTAATGACCAATAAGGTGAGGTTTATCGAATCGATACTGCCGAGTACAGCTGCCTCCGGGTAGTGCTCCTTTATATATTACAATTGTAAATGAAAGGGAGACACTGGCAGCGGTCCACCCTACCCAATTATGGGTTTCGGTCAAATATCATCTCTTTTTGGTTAATGTCAAAATGTAAAACTAATAACTTCATTAATAAGGAGGTCATTTCAACGAGTTCAAAATGTTACCTTATAAAACATTTTCTTGTGTTAGAGTCAGCATATCTCTCGAGCACTTACTAAATATGCCACTTTATAGTTACTATGGTATGGTATACTCATTCAAGTTGGCATTAGATTCACATCTGTCATTATCTGTCGTGGGAAAGCAGGATCTAATGGAAATCATGCATGAGCGAAATTCTCATCTTTCGCACGTACAAACTTTGAGCGGACGTTGGGTGCGCATCCAATACCAAATCCCATAAAATGTATTTGTGTAGTTCTTATAATTATATAGTTTTATAAGCATGCAAAGTTTAAAAAGATTTCAAGTAGACATCTGATCACAACTGGATTCCAAAGTTGATAAAAAATCGTGAAAATAGAAATTTTTAGTGATTTTAGTAAATTTTCATCGATTTGGGCGTGTCCCCACGTGTGCAACTTTTCGATTTTCAACTTTCAAACTAGCCTATAACACAATATAGACCTATAGAAAGCAAGAAAGCAAAACTGAGCTCCACAACCCTAGAGGTGGCTTAAAACCAGAAAATACTAATTCACAAAATCGGCGTTTTTATAAAACTATCCTTCAAAAAATCACGAACTTCAATAGCAAATATCTTTATGAAGGAGAAAGCTAGGAAAACTTTCCGGTAAATTTTCTATATGACCTCAAAATTTAAATTTAATTACTCTTTGATGGATAAAAATCAATTTGGAAAAGTATTATTTTGTCAAATATCAAGTTTTAAAAATGTTCAACTCATCAAGTGGTGATGATGACGTCAAATTATTTTGTATACAATGTAAACTACAGTGTAACTGTAAACAATGACGTGACTAGTCCCAGTGTCACATCATTGCTGGATCACTAGTTTACTGCTGGAGTTTACTTTTAAACTCTTCTCTGAGTCTACTCTGAATAGTTTAGTGGTCAGTAGAGACATACTGGTCACCATAGTAACCGGTAATATATGCCGTGGGTCCGCCACAGTATTCCTCCGACTAGAGTTGCACATCTGAATGTAAGTGTTGAGGTGCAGTATTGTGGGCGTGAAGGCTGCTCGTCCTGCTGGGAGGACCCACTTGCACATTAGGTTTAAATAAACGTACACTTTTATTGCCTTATTCTCATCCCCCACAGTCTTTATGAACCAGGACCAGCTGATTAACCTCTCTGTGCTCATCAGGAAGTCAAGGAGGATTAGAAGTGCCTTAGGAAGGTAAGCTATGATAAAAAAGGCAGTGAGGAGTGCGGTTTTCTTTTTAGCGTCGCTGCTCTTATCCTTCCTTTGAACTCGGGTCACTCGTTTAGCGTGTAGCTTCATAAATACAAAGAAAAGTAAACAGCTTATAACACAAACAAGGAACGGAGTCCACCAGAGCACATCTATCAGTAGGACCATTGCTGGGGCCTTGGTTCCGTCTACTTCATAACTACACTCCCCCAAGTTGGGGGAATACTCGTACCGGGAGACCACCATGTCCAGGTTAAAGAAGGGCAGAGCACAGATAAGAGCCTGGAACAGGGCTAGTAGAGATAAGATGTAGATAAAGGGGTGGTAAGTGACACTTCTCAGTCTGAGAGGGCACACTGTTGCCACACATCTATACACCATTATACACGTAATAGTGAACCACCCATATCTGTCACTGAAGTGGTTTACAAAACCGAATATCTTGCAGAAGATGGTTGGGAAAGACAAGGGTCTTTTAGCTAAAATCAGGATTGCGTTAGGAGAAACTCCCAGTGTACAGAGCAACTGAAATAGAATATTAGTTTTGACATCACTTTTACTTTCGATGATTAATAATAAATACACATTACCAGAATTCGAATACATTATAAACATATTGACGATATACTTAAAGAAGTAGTTAATTTACCAAATCGTTTGCGGCTAAAACCAGCGCACACAGAGTAAAAGGATGAATTTTAACTGTCTTCCTGACAACCCAGAATCTAGCGAGCACAGAACCATTACTGTAGATACCGACTAGAGCGAACACTAGGTAGACAGTTCCAATAACCATGTCCAGTTCTGCAATGGTGTAGTAGATATAGGCAGGAGGCACTGTACTCGTGTAGTAGATATAGGCAGGGGGCACTGTACTCGTAACTTGGTCCGTTCCATTCATGGCGCCCTTCAAACATTCAATGGTTTTAACTAACAACTTAACAAGTTTGAAGCAAAGCAAAAATTGTAGACGATATCATATTGTTAAACTATAAACATATATGTAAATATACATATTATATACATATATACATCTCTCTTTATCATCATGCATTATTTACATGACAAAATATAAAATATTGAAAAATGTTTCCCGACGACACGTGTTTTATCGACCTTGAAGGAATGAATAGCGTTCTACTGTTAAGTCATTAGTCAAGGATGCTCTTGAGGCAACAACAGAGGCATAATCACAACAAAGGTATGTGTAAGGAAGTTCGCCGCAAAACATCGAGCCAGTGGCTTGAAATTGCTAAATACTGCACACCACTAGATATTTCAAAATACTCGACTACGAGTACTATAACACACATAACCCCGGCATGCGCAGGGATTATATTTCAATTTTTCCCGCGACGCGCGGGAAAAATTTATAATAATTTCGAGTGCGAAGCACGAGGGATTATTATGAAAATAACCCCGACGTGCTTTGGCACGAGGGGTTATTTTAATATAATACCTTCCGGGAATTATATCCACTAAAAGTCTCGGACACTGAGAGCTGATAATTTGCCGATATATCCCGCAAGGGAAGCCAAGGTATTATCAGCATAGACCTCAGACTGGCTGGCGGCAAGTTGTAAAACAAATAACACTGGCGTTCTATATATTAGACACTATATTGTATCATGCGCACGTATCGGATTACACCCCTTCCAATTCGGAACCGGAAAATATTATAATACATAATACCTCCGGTTCTTCGGGCCGCAAATTCCCTCCAGCAAGCTGTCGGGAATTATCAAGCGGAGCCCGAAGAGCCGAAGGCATTATTATATTATAACTTAAGCGTGCCGGTGTTATGTGTTATAAACCCCTCCGGGTAAGTGCTAGGACCAACAAATTTGACATTTTACTCTTAATTCTAGCTATATGAGATCATTATGGAAAATATGAAATGGAATTGGGGACTTCCAAATAAATACAACTAAGGTACTATGACTTTTGAAATTGGCGTTATATCTAAACATTATTCCTCAGTCAGAACGTTGAATGAATATGAATATCGATAAGGGGCGTCGAGTTAAGCCTGGCAAGCGATAAAAGCTAATAATGATATCGTGTCATGAAGTTCATCAAAGTAGACGACTATAATACATGGCTTATATCAAACTCGACAAAATTAACCGAACCGGACAAAATCAAATGTAACCGTCGAGACAAGTTTTGGAACTGGTCCAATTAATGTAAGAGTTTAAGTAATGTAGTGTGCTGGAGTTTTGCCAGCGCCTGCAATTAGACCGATACGTAGATCGAGTGTATTTATAGTTCTTACGTTAAGCCATAGGTCACGTGACATTTTTTACCAATGCGCGTCGTAGTAGTTAGTCACGTGATACACGTCATCAAAACACGTGACAGTACGCGGTTGAAATTCTCATGGAATATCAAAACAAAACAAATCTTGTTGAGCCAAATTAGCGGGGCGGGATTATAAAAGCTGTGCCGGGGTTATTTATTCAGCGGGAAAAAACTAACAGCGGGAGCCGGGATTATCAGAATCTATTTAGCGGGAGCCGGGATTATCAGAATCTTATTCTATCCCGGAGGGGTTTATAATCCAATAATACCTTGGCTTTTGAGTGCTACGCGGCACGAAACAGCGCGATAATTCCCGACAGCTTGCTCATGCTGGAGAGAGGGCGCGGCACAAAACAGCCAAGGCCCAAGGTATTATTTGTTATAACTATTAGTATTGACGGTGGCTCGATGAACGCATTTGGTTTCTTTGTGGACACAATCGAATGATTTTGCTGCTGCTGATATAGTAGAAGATATTTAATTTCAATACACTCACTCGACAGAGAGCAAGTAAAAGGGCATGGAAAGTTTTAGCTTCATAAGGTTGCCCCTTGATGTCAGTTATTTCAGTTATGAGCTCCAATAGAACAAATGTGATTCTGTCGAAAGGAACGTTGTTGAATTCACTAGGAATGTTGTCCAAGGGGGCCACTTCATTGTGTTCAACAAAGGATCTAGCAACTGACTAGCGACTGACAAGTTTGGAAATGTTTAAATTTGGGAGCGTGCCAAAGTGTGCAGCATGGTGCGCGAGCCGCTCATCAAGGTAACGGGGAGTCTGTGCTGATAATACCTTCGCTTCCCTTGCAGGAAATATCTGCAAATTATCAGCTCTCAGTGTCGACGAGTACAGTTTTAGTGCATATAATTCCAGGAAATAGTTATACATTACGATAGGGCGGAACCCACCAGCAACAAATTGAAAAACTGTTATGAGGGAAATATGATATTAAGGAAATCTTAGTTGTAATATATATAAACTAGATGCCATTTTTGTGTTGATAGGTCGGTTGAGAATACGATTAGCAGTATCAAGAGAGTTGGTGGAGTACTGTAATAGTTACAAGGTAAACATTCCTAATCAACATAGAAACACCTGCTTTACCACACGTGTATAATAATGCTACACGTGTATAATAATGCTACACGTGTATAATAATGCTACACGTGTATAATAATGATACACGTGTATAATAATGCTACACGTGTATAATGCTACTATGCAGTTCTTAAGTTGAGAACTAGTTGTAATGAGATTACAACTAAGAGTTTGTTCTGATTTCTAACATCTAAATCTAATAACCGAGTTTTTGTTACAAAATTCAATTTTTTCAGAATGTGGAATTAAATTATAAATAAAAGATTATGCAGATTCATTTTTCTTATACATTTCAATTAAGAACTAACTTTCAGCATTAATTGAAGTTCGATATCAAAAGCCAAACATTTAAAATAACACGACTTCACATGATGGTAATATGATATTTGACTGTATAATCAGCAGATCAATACATCCGCTACTACTGTCTACGCTTAGTAATGGTGTCTACATAGTGCTGCAATTTTAATGTTTCTAATTCTATCACTTATAATATCTACTTATATATACTGTGTACACGCCTCTGCGCTCTCAGCTACTAAAAGGGGCCATATACTTAGGACGTCCGCCAAAATCGCAGATTTTCAGACCACCCCTCCCCCTGTCCAGTGTCCGGGTGTGTCCGAATTTTCAATTCGGACAAATAAGCTATTTAAATAAATTCAGCTATTTATTTCCATTAGAATCTGTCTTCACTGAGTCTATTCAGAAACAATCAGAAATTTGAATGAAAGAGTAATTAGTGTCAAAGAGTTGAAATATAACTTTTTCGTTAATTCTGCCAAAATTTCCGGACGTTCGGATTTTCAGAAACCACCCCCCCCCCCTCCCCCTGTCCGGATTTTCCGAAATTCCAAAACCACCCCCCCCCCTCTCCCTATTTGCCGGACGTCCTAAGTAGATGGCCCAAAAGGACGTGGCAGCAAACAAGAGCTCACAAAACGCGATAAAATAAAATCAGATAATATATAATATTATCACTTCGAGATGGCCAGGCCTACTCTCATGCTGTCTATATGTGATGATTAACTCTGAAAAACTAGGGACAACTGGGGAATGATCCCAGAACCTCGAGATTTCGCGTCTCTTGCTCTACCAATTGAGCTACTGACCCTGATTCTCAGAGCGAAATCACCACTCATATACAGCACAATTTCATGCTTGAAGCATGAAATTGTGCTGTATATGAGTGGTGATTTCGCTCTGAGAATCAGGGTCAGTAGCTCAATTGGTAGAGCAAGAGACGCGAAATCTCGAGGTTCTGGGATCATTCCCCAGTTGTCCCTAGTTTTTCAGAGTTAATCATCACATATAGACAGCATGAGAGTAGGCCTGGCCATCTCGAAGTGATAATAATAATTAAATGTTTCGCAGATTGGCAATTGATCGGTGTAGTTGGTGTTGTACACACTGCACTGATAACGATATCACGTTGAACGTGTAATGTAAATATAGTGTGGATACATGCGAATATATATTCTAAATAACTAATATATAATATATATTAATGCTTTTCAAACAAAGTTACAACGAATTCTTCATGTAGTGCATCCTGGGTTTGGACAGGATAATGGATATGCCCGTTTAAAATATTTCCATCGCGTTACATTACATAATTCTGAAACATATATTATATTTACAATAAATTATGCAATATCATTATCACAACATTACAATCAACAAAATAAATTAATCACAGAATCTCAGATACAAATAATAATAAATTAAACACAAAAAAAAACAAATTAAACAAGCAATAATTGAATACACAAATTCGAATATAATATATGTAATAGTAGTACCAATCATTAGTAGTACTAAGCAATCTAATTGTAACTATTGGCCGTGCAAGGAGGAAGTAAAATGGTGACCCCTGTTCGCTATGAAATCGTTATGAAATTAGCGATGACGATATCGAGGAGTTCTCGCTTGCATGGTTCACCCATAAAGTAGGAAGTAAAATGAGGGATATATCACCATTGAGGGATATATCACCATACAATGAGGGATATATCACCATTGAGGGATATATCACCATACAATGAGGGATATATCACCATTGAGGGGTATATCACCATACAATGAGGGATATATCACCATTGAGGGATATATCACCATACAATGAGGGATATATCACCATTGAGGGATATATCACCATACAATGAGGGATATATCACCATTGAGGGATATATCACCATACAATGAGGGATATATCACCATTGAGGGATATATCACCATACAATGAGGGATATATCACCATTGAGGGATATATCACCATACAATGAGGGATATGTCACCATTAAGGGATATATCACCATACATTGAGGGATATATCACCATTGAGGGATATATCACCATACAACGAGGGATATATCACCATTGAGGGATATATCACCATACATTGAGGGATATATCACCATTGAGGGATATATCACCATACAATGAGGGATATATCACCATTGAGGGATATATCACCATACAATGAGGGATATATCACCATACATTGAGGGATATATCACCATACAATGAGGGATATATCACCATACAATGAGGGATATACCTATCACCATACCATGAGGGATATATCACCATACAATGAGGGATATATCACCATACAATGAGAGATATATCACCATACAATGAGGGATATATCACCATACAATGAGGAATATATCACCATACAATGAGGGATATATCACCATACAATGAGGGATATATCACCATTGAGGGATATATCACCATACAATGAGGGATATATCACCATACAATGAGGGATATATCACCATACAATGAGGGATATATCACCATACAATGAGGGATATATCACCATACAATGAGGGATATATCACCATAAAATGAGGGATATATCACCATTGAGGGATATATCACCATACAATGAGGGATATATCACCATTGCTCCACTCCTAATAATTGGTCCACTCCCGATCACGTGATTTTATAGCGAACCGGGGTCACCATTTTACTTCCTCCTTGCACGGCCAATTGAGCGCCGCGATTTTCACATTTTGCTGATCCTGAGATGATACCTCACCCTTCCCTCACCCTTCCCTCACCCTTCCCTCGCCCTTCCCTCGCCTTTCCCTCACCCTTCCCTCACCCTTCCCTCACCCTTCCCTCATCCTTCCCTCGCCCTTCCCTCACTCCTTCCCTCGCCCTTCCCTCACCCTTCCTTTACCCTTCCCTCGCCCTTCCCTCACCCTTCCTTCACCCTTCCCTCACCCTTCCCTAACCCTTCCCTCACCCCTGCCTCGCCCTTCCCTCACCCTTCCCTCGCCCTTCCCTCACCCTTCCCTCACCCTTCCCTCACCCTTCCCTCACCCTTCACTCACCCTTTCCTCGCCCTTCCATCACCCTTCCTTCACCCTTCCCTCATCCTTTCCTCGCCCTTCCTTCGCCCTTCCCTCACCCTTCCCTCATCCTTCCCTCGCCCTTCCCTCACTCTTCCCTCGCCCTTCCCTCATCCTTCCTTCACCCTTCCCTCACCCTTCCTTCACCCTTCCCTCACCCTTCCCTCACCTTTCCCTCACCCTTCCCTCACCCTTCCCTCACCCTTCCTTCATCCTTCCCTCATCTTTCCCTCACCCTTCCCTCACCCTTCCCTCACCCTTCCTTCATCCTTCCCTCATTCTTCCCTCGCCCTTCCCTCGCCCTTCCTTCACCCTTCCCTCGCCCTTCCCTCATCCTTCCCTCACCCTTCCCTCACCCTTCCATCACCCTTCCTTCACCCTTTCCTCATCCTTTCGTCGCCCTTCCTTCACCCTTCCCTCACCCTTCCCTCATCCTTCCCTCGCCCTTCCCTCACCCTTCCTTCACCCTTCCCTCGCCCTTCCCTCACCCTTCCTTCACCCTTCCCTCACCCTTCCTTCACCCTTCCCTCATCCTTTCCTCGCCCTTCCTTCACCCTTCCCTCACCCTTCCCTCATCCTTGCCTCGCCCTTCCCTCACTCTTCCCTCGCCCTTCCCTCATCCTTCCTTCACCCTTCCCTCACCCTTCCCTCACCCTTCCCTCACCCTTCCCTCACCCTTCCCTCACCTTTCCCTCACCCTTCCCTCACCCTTCCCTCACCCTTCCCCCACCCTTCCTTCACCCTTCCCTCACCTTCCCTCACCCTTCCTTCACCCTTCCCTCACCCTTCCCTCACCCTTCCCTCGCCCTTCCATCACCCTTCCCTCATCCTTCCTTCACCCTTCCCTCATCATTCCCTCGCCCTTCCCTCACTCTTCCCTCGCCCTTCCCTTATCCTTTCCTCGCCCTTCGTTGACCCATTCCTCACCCTTCCTTCACCCTTCCCTCACCCTTTCCTCACCTTTCCCTCACCCTTCCTTCACCCTTCCTTCACCCTTCCCTCACCCTTCCCTCACCCTTCCCTCGCCCTTCCTTCATCCTTCCCTCATTCTTCCCTCATCCTTCCCTCACCATTCCCTCACCCTTCCCTCACCCTTCCTTCATCCTTCCCTCATTCTTCCCTAATCCTTCCCTCGCCCTTCCTCACTCTTCCCTCGCCCTTCCCTCATCCTTCCTTCGCCCTTCCTTCACCCTTCCCTCAACCTTCCCTCATCCTTCCCTCACCATTCCCTCACCCTTCCCTCACCCTTCCTTCATCCTTCCCTCATTCTTCACTCGCCCTTCCCTCGCCCTTCCTTCACCCTTCCCTCGCCCTTCCTTCACCATTCCCTCACCCTTCCCTCGCCCTTCCTTCACCCTTCCCTCATCCTTTCCTCGCCCTTCCTTCACCCTTCCCTCACCCTTCCCTCATCCTTCCCTCGCCCTTCCCTCACTCTTCCCTCGGCCCTTCCCTCATCCTTCCTTCACCCTTCCCTCACCCTTCCCTCACCCTTCCCTCACCCTTCCCTCACCCTTCCCTCACCTTTCCCTCACCCTTCCCTCACCCTTCCCTCACCCTTCCCTCACCTTCCTTCACCTTCCCTCACCCTTCCTCGCCTTCCTTCACCCTTCCTTCACCTTCCCTCACCCTTCCCTCGCCCTTCACTCACCCTTTCTCGCCCTTCCATCACCCTTCCTCATCCTTCCTTCACCCTTCCCTCACCCTTCCTCACTCTTCCCTCGCCCTTCCCTCATCCTTTCCTCGCCCTTCGTTGACCCTTCCCTCACCCTTCCTTCACCCTTCCTTCACCCTTCCCTCACCCTTTCTTCACCTTTCCCTCACCCTTCCTTCACCCTTCCTTACCCTTCCCTCACCCTTCCCTCACCCTTCCCCTCACCTTCCTTCATCCTTCCCTCATTCTTCCCTCATCCTTCCCTCACCATTCCCTCACCCTTCCCTCACCCTTCCTTCATCCTTCCCTCATTCTTCCCTAATCCTCCCTCGCCCTTCCCTCACTCTTTCCCCTCCGCCCTTCCCTCATCCTTCCTTCGCCCCTTCCTTCACCCCTTCCCTCAACCTTCCCTCATCCTTCCTCACCATTCCGTCACCTTCCCTCACCCTTCCTTCATCCTTCCCTCATTCTTCACTCGCCCTTCCTCGCCCTTCCTTCACCCTTCCCCTCGCCCTTCCTTCACCATTCCCTCACCCTTCCCTCACCCTTCCTTCACCCTTCCTTCATCCTTTCCTCGCCCTTCCTTCCACCCTTCCTCACCTTTCCCTCATCCTTCCCTCGCCTACCTCACTCCTTCCTTCACCCTTCCCTCACCCTTCCCTCGCCCTTCACTCACCCTTTCCTCGCCCTTCCATCACCCTTCCCTCATCCTTCCTTCACCCTTCCCTCACCCTTCCCTCACTCTTCCCTCGCCCTTCCCTCATCCTTTCCTCGCCCTTCGTTGACCCTTCCCTCACCCTTCCTTCACCCTTCCCTCACCCTTTCTTCACCTTTCCCTCACCCTTCCTTCACCCTTCCTTCACCCTTCCCTCACCCTTCCCTCACCCTTCCCTCACCCTTCCTTCATCCTTCCCTCATTCTTCCCTCATCCTTCCCTCACCATTCCCTCACCCTTCCCTCACCCTTCCTTCATCCTTCCCTCATTCTTCCCTAATCCTTCCCTCGCCCTTCCCTCACTCTTCCCTCGCCCTTCCCTCATCCTTCCTTCGCCCTTCCTTCACCCTTCCCTCAACCTTCCCTCATCCTTCCCTCACCATTCCGTCACCCTTCCCTCACCCTTCCTTCATCCTTCCCTCATTCTTCACTCGCCCTTCCCTCGCCCTTCCTTCACCCTTCCCTCGCCCTTCCTTCACCATTCCCTCACCCTTCACTCACCCTTCCTTCACCCTTCCTTCATCCTTTCCTCGCCCTTCCTTCACCCTTCCCTCACCTTTCCCTCATCCTTCCCTCGCCCTTCCCTCACTCTTCCCTCGCCCTTCCCTCACCCTTCCTTCACCCTTCCCTCACCCTTCCCTCACCCTTCCCTCACCCTTCCCTCACTCTTCCCTCACCTTCCCTCACCTTTCCCTCACCCTTCCCTCACCCTTCCCTCACCCTTCCCTCACCCTTCCTTCACCCTTCCCTCACCCTTCCCTCGCCCTTCCTTCACCCTTCCTTCACCCTTCCCTCACCCTTCCCTCGCCCTTCACTCACCCTTTCCTCGCCCTTCCATCACCCTTCCCTCATCCTTCCTTCACCCTTCCCTCATCCTTCCCTCCCCTTCCCTCACTCTTCCCTCGCCCTTCCCTCATCCTTTCCTCGCCCTTCGTTGACCCTTCCCTCACCCTTCCTTCACCTTCCCTCACCCGTTCCTCACCTTTCCCTCACCCTTCCTTCACCCTTCCTTCATCCTTCCCTCACCCTTCCCTCACCCTTCCTTCATCCTTCCCTCATCCTTTCCTCGCCCTTCCCTCACCCTTCCCTCACCCTTCCCTCACCCTTCCCTCGCCCTTCCCTCGCCTTTCCCTCACCCTTCCCTCACCCTTCCCTCACCCTTCCCTCATCCTTCCCTCGCCCTTCCCTCACTCTTCCCTCGCCCTTCCTCACCCTTCCTTCACCTTTCCCTCACCCTTCCCTCACCCTTCCTTCACCCTTCCCTCACCCTTCTTTAACCCTTCCCTCACCCCTGCCTCGCCCTTCCCTCACCCTTCTCTCGCCCTTCCCTCACCTTTCCCTCACCCTTCTTTCATCCTTCCCTCACCCTTCCCTCATCCTTCCGTCACCCTTCCCTCGCCTTTACTGCTAACTTGGAATGTGTTCAGGAGGGTATAAAGACGAAGCCTTGTCCTCGTGTGAAATGTATGACCTACACTCTGACCGATGGTCTAACATCTCACCCCTCAACTTTGCTAGAGATGGTCCTGGGGTGGTATCCCTTAATAACTCCATATACGCAGCAGGTAAGTGGTGGGAGGGTTGTAATGTTATTTACATTGATATCCTTTACCTGTTACCTAGGTAACCTTACCTGTTACCTAGGTAATCTTACCTGTTACCTAGGTAATCTTACCTGTTACCTAGGTAACCTTACCTGGTACCTAGGTAACACTAACCTTACCTGGTACCTAGGAATACTTACCTGGTACCTAGGTAACCTTACCTGGTACCTAGGTAACCTTACCTGGTAAATACTACTACTTATAATACTTAGTGCTCAATAATGGCTGGCCATTTAAAAAAATTAGCTCATGAGATGATGTTTTGAAGTAAAAATCGCGTTTTTAAGGTTCAAGTGAAAAAATTACTAAATAAAAAAACATTTTTTCTCAAGGTAAAATTTTTAGTTTTTCAGTGATTTCACGACACGTACTTTGTACTTTTTAAAAGAGTAAAGTTAAACATACAATGCGAGCAGCACTACAGCAGTATTAACCCACGTGTCAATCCTTCCCAAGTTTGAACTCGTGGGACGTAGCGGCCTATTATAATGCTACGATATCATGTGAAGCAGTATTTGAAGCAGTATTTGATGCATCCGGCCAGTTGTGTATCGCACTGCATCCCACGTACACTTTCAGGAGGATATAACGGTAAGGATTACAAAGTGGTTGAAAGGTTTGACCCCCGGGTGGGGATCTGGGAACGAGTCCCAAACATGGAACAGTCTCGATCTTACGGAGCTACAGCAGTTGCTGACGGCAAAATATTTTGCTTTGGGGGCCGCCAAAAAGATAAAAAGGTTCGATTACTAGTTCTTTACAAATTATTCTAACCACTACTTTGCTCGTCAGGAAAACACAAACGTGAAACGATTATTTTTGGACACAACCCAGCAAACCTTACTGACTGGGCGTGTTATTAAAGATTATTGCGTCTTCACAGCGAGTCCATGCTCGCGCGTGCTTAAGTTTATTGCATGCGTGACGTTTACTTATTCTTAACCATGTGCTTTCGGGCTCTGCTTAAAGCAACGTGTGATGTAATAGCCTACATATAGGCTATTTCATGTATAACCTATATATAATATTAATAGTGGCTTAATTTGCTACGATACCGCCGCGCACTTATAAGGAAGTTTGTCTAATTTCTCGTTAGAGTTAGGATTTTCAGATCACCGCCCCCTGTCCGGGTGTGTCCGAATTTTCAAAACTACCCCCCCCCCCCCCCCCCCCCCCCCCCCTCCCCGGACGTCCGGATTTCCAGCTACTTTTAAGAGTACAAATAAAACCAACTCAAAGTCAAATTCATTGTAAATAAAATGTGTAGTTACTTAAAATAGACAATAATACATTTACTTTTAGTGTCGAACAAATTTAGCACAGTTACATTTAAGTTTTTCAGAAACCACCCCCGTCCCCTGTCCGGATTTGTCCGAAATTCCAAAACTACCCCTTCCCAGCTCCCTATTATAAATGGACCTTAAAAGACATATATGCAACGTGCAGCAATTATTTTTTCAAAACTATCCTTCACCAAGAACATTAATCTACCAACATTGGCAGGTTGTGTTTGTTGAGTTCTACGACCCTCGAGCCAGCAAATGGGACAGTTTGGATGATCTAGACACAGAGAAAAGTGATGCGAGGGCTGTATCCATCGACAACACGGTATAAATGTTTTAATTAACAATTAAGATCTGAATGGTTAAAATCAGTGAAAAAAGTATGTGTAAATTTATCGAATAATCTGGTTGATCCAAGTTATCCGGTTACCAATTGTTGGCCAATATGGCCACGCACTTGTGCACATGCAGGGCCCACAGCGTGCAAGGATACAAGGATACAAGGATACAAGGATACAAGGATACAAGGATACAAGGATACAAGGATACAAGGATACAAGGATACAATGATACAAGGATACAAGGATACAAGGATACAAGGATACAAGGATACAAGGATACAAGGATACAAGGATACAAGGATACAAGGATACAAGGATACAAGGATACAAGGATACAAGGATACAAGGATACAAGGATACAAGGATACAAGGATACAAGGATACAAGGATACAAGGATACAAGGAATAGAATACAATGATACAAGGATACAAGGATACAAAAGTGATAATTATATTTATTGAGTTCACAATAGTGGTAATCCTGAAATACACATCGACATCATCGGCTTAACGGGTGATACTCATAAAATATTTGTTCCGTCGACGAGTCCAACTCGGCGCGCGTCCTGGTAGTGGTAGGTTATAAACCTACAATCATCGGCAAGTATTCATATTGGCCTTGATTCACGATGTCAATCCTTCGCATCTTGCATCTCGCCGCTCTGCATACGGTTGCATGTAGTCGCGAGAAGCATTATTGAATGCGCGCGCGGCCCAGTGGTGCACATCGCGCTACAAAGATTTTTGCAACTTAGCTCTTTTCCCACAGCTCAATACTATAATTAAACTCGACCCAATTCCAATTCAATCCTTTACTGTCATGTCATGAAGATTTAACTAGTATTAGCAATTAGTAAAGCCATAGGGCGAGCGACATAATACGAGCTGTTTTCACCTGCCACATAGCTTTCTTGATCGGCTCGACCAAAACCTGACTATCGCCATAATTTTCATCGTGGCTACCAGTACCTCCGACTATAGTTTCTTCCTTTTCAACTGCAACAATTTGCTCCTTTAAATTTTCAATCTCCTTCTTTAGCTCATTTTGAGTATTACTGAAATGATTCTTTGTCCATAGCTTCAGTGGACAAATCTACCACTTAGTACCACAAAGGATAAAGTTGTGTTTGTTTAGTTTCTAGCTGTATCGTGACCCCCATTGTCGTTTCACTAAGTAAGTATCGTGGCGGAAGCCACGATAAAACCGCGCACTCGTGCGCGGTAAGTCTACAACGTATGACAAGTTTCTAAAGGGTTTTCATCAAGCCCAAGCAAGCAATCGTCAGTCCTGCCATTTCTGATTTAGTACCGAGTTTATACTCAATATGTTCAATAACATTTGGTTGGGGTTGTAGGTTTACAACCTACCAGGACGCGCGCCGAGTTGGACTCGTCGACGGTCCAATTGTGGAAATATATGGAACAGATATTTTACGAGTATCACCCGTTAAGGTTGGGGGCCATCTACTTAGGACGTCCGCCAAAATCGCATATTTTAAAACCTCCCCCTGTCCGGGTGTGTCCGAATTTTCAAAACACACCTCCCCCGGACGTTTGGATTTCCAGCAACTTTGAAGATTACGAATAACTTGGTTCTTGTGAGCTGCTCTTGGAATCTACTTCTAGTTCTCGTTCAAAATACAGGGATCTAAACTTACAAAGTAATGAGTGTCAAAGAGTTGAAATAAATGAAACTTTTTCGTTAATTCTGCCAAAATTTCCGGACGTCCGGATTTTCAGAAACCACCGCCCCCCCCCCCCTCCTCCTCCTCCCTATTTGCCGGACGTCCTAAGTAGATTAAGATGGCACCTTACCAATGCTCTCAGAAATCAGGGTACCATGTTATCAAGTTACCAAGTTATCTGTTGCCAAGGTATCTGTTACCAAGGCATATGTTATACCAATGTGTCTGGTTACCAAGGTATCTGTTACCAAGGCATATGTTATACAATGTGTCTGGTTACCAAGTTATCTGTTGCCAAGGTATCTGTTGCCAAGGTTTATGTTATACCAATGTGTCTGGTTACCAAGGTATCTGTTACCAAGGCATATGTTATACAATGTGTCTGGTTACCAAGTTATCTGTTGCCAAGGTATCTGTTGCCAAGGTTTATGTTATACCAATGTGTCTGGTTACCGAGTTATTTGAGTTGCATATCCCAGATATACTTGCTTGGTGGGCTGGATAAAGATGACAGGCCGCTGGATGACGTACAATCTTACGACCCTCTTACCAGAGAGTGGATGCAGCTTCCAAATCTCACAACTAAACGGCGTCTCATGGCAGTAGCCAGTGTAGGATAGCGGATAGTGTATCCTACAGTGTAGGATAGTGTGTACTGTGTACAGTGTTGTAGGTTTATAACCTACCAGGACGCGCGCCGAGTTGGACTCGTCGACGGTCCAATATATGGAACAGATATTTTACGAGTATCACCCGTTAACTACAGTGTAGGATAGAGTGTATCCTACAGTGTATGATAGTGTGTATCCTACAGTGTAGGATAGTGGGTATCCTACAGTGTAGGATAGTGTGTATCCTACAGTGTAGGATAGTGGATAGTGTGTATCCTACATGCAGTGTAGGATAGTGGATATCCTACAGTGTTGGATAGTGCGTATCCTACATGCAGTGTAGGATGGTGGATAGTGATTGAACCAAACAAACATCCGATTATGGACTATTCGTGAATTGTTACGACATATTTAATGAATTTGCACTACAAGGATTAATTTCTCTTCAGAATTCAGATAATGATTTTATGTCGCAAAAAACTTGTCATTTGTTATTTTTGTGCTTCAAAACGAAAGTGAAGCACAAACTTTGAAGTATTTGGACTATTTTGAGTTACTGTTTCGATCAATATTATTTGATTTCAAGGACTATCACGGAAATGTTTACTTTGTCACACTATAATTATAGTATAAAAGTATAAGTATAAACATGTGACGGAGTAAATATGGACCCCTTGCTGCTGCGTTTGACCAAATTTTCGAGTGTCCAGTTGATAGGATGGGTACACATGACTATTAACTACATATTTGACGACTTTTTTCGTTAAATGGTGCGCCCAGGTTTACTCCGTCACACATTCAAGAAAATATATGAGGAATGTTTAGGGCACCCTGAAAAGGAATGCTGAGTAGTGTAGGATTACTTTGTGACCTGGAAGTGCTGGAAATTGTTATCTTAAACAATTATCTCCGAATGTGTGTGTGTCTGTCTGTCTGCGTGTAATTTCCGAGCGGGTTAATCAAGAAAACGGTAAGAGTTACGGGGCTGGTTTTTTGGTATAGTGCCGACAAAACTATGATCGGATTGAGGAAGCCATATGATTAAGCTAAGGTTTTTTAATCGGCCGGTGGTAAGTGGTTTAATTCATAATTGATGGTTTTGTACCACAAATGTGACATAAAATGGCTCACATTTTCTCTCTCCTCGCTCTCTCTCCCATTACTGCATATTATGTAGCGTTGGTACATATATCATAATTAGGTTAGCCTCGATATAGTTATACTGTCATTTAATACTATAAGATTAAGATTATTAGGGGAGGGAGCACTCATTGCGGTCTGTTTGTTTACTTCCATACGACTATGTAATGCATGTTTTCAAATATAATAGGCGGGTGTGGTGCGGAGTTAATTTCTAAAATGATTTAAATAAAAATGGAAAGCGGTTCAACTTCAAGACGGGAGTGATGAGGTATAATAGTCGTGGTACAGGGTGTACGGACCTTATGTTCATGGAATGTGGTGCGTAATAATGACTTAATTATCCACGAGAAAGAACTGACTATGCGATTATGAGTGGATAATTAAGTCATTATTAGGCACCACATTCCATGATCATAAGGTCCGTACACTCTGTACCACAACTATTACAGTTACACCTCATCACTCCCGTCTTGAACCGCTTTAAATCGTTTTAGAAGTTAACCCTTATTAACTCCGCACCACACCCGCCTATTATATTTGAAAACATGCATTACATTGTCGTATGAAACTGAAAGTGTGAACTCTGTCTACAGTCCAAACAGACCGCAATGAGTGCTCCCTCCCTAATAAGCTTATAGTATTAAATGATAGTGTAATTATGATTCATGTACCAACGCTACACCCAGGAAACCTTACTATATACTGGCTGGGGCCTAACTTCGAAAGTAAAAGAGTTCAAGTAAAAAGAATTCAATATTCTTTCAGAACCAATTGGTAGATTATATTTATTGTCCACCACATCTGCAGATGTGACCAACGAAGAAGTTCTTAGGAGGGCTGGCATCAAGTCAGTCGAGACTTTCATCAGTGCTGCCAGGCTACGTTGGTATGGACATGTAGTTAGAATGCCAGACTCTAGACTACCGAGGTTTCTGTTGAACTGGAAGCCAAATTATGGAAAGAGGTCAAGGGGCAGACCCCGTAAGAACTGGAAGTCCTGCGTACTCGAAGATGCTGCTAAGTTTACAGGTGTTGAAAACATCGACAACAACACGACAGAAGCTTTGGCTACCAACCGAGTACAGTGGAGACATATGTTACGCCGCCAACGCGATGTGTGTGATGCAGGCCACTCCAACGACTAGGAGGAGACCTTACCATGTATGTATGTATGTGTATGTAACATCTGCAGAGCTCAAGTTTAACAATGTTAAGTTAAATTTTGCTAAGTCACTAAAAATGTGACAGAATTAACATTTTTTACCCCAACAATATAAATTTAATACGGAAAACTGGTATGGACTGCTATATTTCTTGTTTTTGTCTGCCCTATTTTTGTCCGTCTTGAAAATATAAGGTACCGCACGGACAAAAAAAACATGAGCTGGGGCTTCCACCGTTCAATTAATGTCCGTTCAAATAAAGTACGACAAGGTACGTTTAAAAGTAAATGTGCTTTTTGCGGAAATATAGTGCGCGCTGTAAATGTGATACGCCCACTATATTTACGTAACTTATCACATTTATATTTCCGCAAAAAGTACCATACGTTTTTAGTGTTGTAATTAATTTATGAACCATATTAAAATAAACACTTATTTATTATTTGTATGACGAAAATATTACTTTTAAGTATAACAATCACATGAGAATTATTTACATGAATATGATACAGTCTGTACAAAATAACATCTTTTAAATGTGTCTAGTAACCCTGCTACTAGATAATATTTGTTTCTTAATACACAGGAGTAAAATAAACGATTATAAAATCTCTGGTTATAAATTAAAATGAAGTTAAATAAATATAAGAATAAACACAATATACTAATATCACACTATATATATATATATATATATACTAATATCATATTTACACTATAATAATGTCTGTCTGAAATGTGGCAAAATCCTGACTACTAGTATTATATGTAATATGTATTCACTTTATCAGGGCGTTAAACTTTAAACAATCAGTTAGTTACACATCAGTTAGTAGTAGTGACTCATTAGTTAGTAGTAGTTACACATTAGTTAGTAGTAGTTACTCATTATCACAACTCTAGGTTGGGTAGTCCGAACTCTCTGAGCTTCCCAATGTTGCGCAGCTGTACCATCTCACAACTCTTCTGCCAGCGGGATTGTGCTTGCTCTAACTTGCCTGCTACCGCGTCCATAGCTTCTATCAGAATACTCTCATACTTCTTCTCCATGTCACTCTGTAATAATAATACATTACATACTACATTACATTAACTAGCCCGTAGCCGTGTTAATCTAAAGTGGTGTATTGAGAAAACAATACTTATTTAATTTGTGATGAATTGTTTATTCCTTTGTCAATTATAATTTTTTATCACCATTTCCCTTTCCATTTTCTCGACAGCATCATCGTACTTCTTCTGTAGATCTGATTTAGCTTTCTCTGTCTCATCTAATTTACTCTTAGTAGTATCCAGCTGAACCTGAAATCATGTACTGTTACTTGAGTGTGTATAGTAGAGTGTATAGTAGAGTGTATAGTAGTGTATAGTAGAGTGTATACTAGAGTGTATACTAATGTGTATAGTAGAGTGTATACTAATGTGTATAGTAGTGTATAGTAGAGTGTATACTAGAGTGTGTACTAATATGTATAGTAGAGTGTATACTAGTGTGTGTACTAATGTGTATAGTAGAGTGTGTACTAGAGTGTGTACTAATGTGTATAGTAGAGTGTATACTAGTGTGTGAACTAATGTGTATAGTAAAGTGTGTATAGTAGTGTGTATAGTAGAGTGTATAGTAGTGTGTTGTATTAATATTGTACATGTTATTTACCTGCATGTGAGCAAGGCTTGTCTCCAGCAAATGTATCCGTAGCGCCATTGTACTCTGCATGGTTTTGTATTGCCTGACCATGTCCGCGGATATATCTAGCTTCTCCTCCTGCTCCTCCTTCACTACGTTCTCCCATTCTGATACCTGTAATACATTATTATATACAATGTTATGTATGTACATTTGTACAATCACATCAATATCAACCGTAACAACATCTTCGTTTGGGAACCAACTTTGTTTACAATTTACTGGTTAATGTTTACTCAAGAATTTATACATACAATAATATACAATAATTATATACCTAAATCTGCTAATATAAAACCAAAATAACTCCGTAATATGTATGTAAAGCTGTAGTACATACATATTACATTGCGATGAAAACTTGGAACATCTCCCCCCCCCCCCCCCCTGTAATCAGTTTTACACATAGCTATTGTGTCAAAATTACACTAGCGTAATCATTTAGAACCCCCCCCCCCCCCCCCCCCTCAGCTGATTACGTAATATGTCAAGGACCCCTTATCAAGGCGTACGTTTATAAAAGGCGCGGCATTTCATCGCAATGTAGGTTTCATCTCAATGTAATATGTATGTACTACGGCTTAAGAATATACACCGCACGAAATTATGGACCTGGAAGTAAGATTAAATACTTCAGCTTAATACACAAATCAAAACAAAATTCTAGAAGAATGAGTCTTGTATTGAAAGACGAATATGATTTAGAAGCTAAAGTTGATCTAAAATAATGATAACCTAAAAGTACGGGCTATGAATACCTTTAATTTAAGATCGTTTGCCTTGGCGTTATTTCTTCGGGCAAGTTCAGACCTTGTCTCGAGTTCGTGTTTCAAGGAATCCACTTCTTGTAAAGTTTTGTTGTACTTATCTTTTACTGTCAATTCGCCCGGTTCACCCTTCTTTCCTTTTTTCTTCCCCTTCTTCTTTTTTGGAGGCATCACGCTAGACAAGTTGTCAAGTTAAGTCCGCTAATAGTGTCGGTTGTGCTTAGATTTTAATAGAATATGATAAAAACTGGTGTGGCGAGAAATAAGAGTATGCCTTATCTTAAGAGATAAGAATTGAATTAAGGAGGAGGCTAATGTACTTTTCACACATCAGCTGATGTCACGTTCGGAAGAAAATGAACGACCGAATTTTCGCGCGAAAATTTTTCAGAGGTAGTGCTGACAGGAGTTAGTAATATTTTGGACGCGCGTTACAAATATTCCAGCCGTTCGGCCACGAAAGTTGGAGTGTCAACTGGCAAGCACTGAATAAGACTTCATAAATAAGCAATAAAAGACAAGAATTCTATCCAATTCAAACTACATATATCAACACTTTTCAAAATAAGTTATTTAAAAGTTGTTATAAATTCATCAACGTTTTAAAAGACTCCAAAGATTCATAAAAAAGCTCAGGTCACACCATATATGGTAGTATTACCACACACCATATATGGTAGTATTACCATGGTAACACCATATTAACCTTCCTCAACCAAACCGCATATTTGAGTTATTTTGCTCCGCTGAAAAGAGCCTTATTTCAAATAACTTTATTTCATCAAATATATAGAATCTACAATAACTTTCATCACAAAATTCTTGGCTACAAAAAGAGTTGGAAAAGTTAAACCTCAACTTTCCATTTCACGAGGTGGAAGTTTGGTGAAACATAATAGATGTTACGTAATAGTTGTCATGGTAACAAAAGTCTTATCAGAAGAGTAAAAACAACACGTATCTAACTACCGGACACTTGCAGAGAGCTCAGCACCGTACGCTCATTCTCAGTTAGCGCCTGTAATAGTGAAATAGTGAAATATTGCAGAGAAATAGTGAAATATTGCAGAGAAATAGCGAAATATTGCAGAGAAATAGTGATATATTGCAGAGAAATAGTGAAATATCGCAGAGATGTAGTGAAATGTTGCAGAGAAATAGTGAAATATTGCAGAGAAATAGTGAAATATTGCAGAGAAATAGTGAAATATTGCAGAGAAATAGTGAAATATTGCAGATAAATAGTGAAATATTGCAGAGATTTGGTGAAACTTACAGAGATTTAGTGAAATTTACAGAGATATAGTGAAATATTGCAGAGATCTAGTGAAATATTGCAGAGATGTAGTGTAATTTATAGAGATTTGGTGTAATTTACAAAGATTTGACGTAATTTACAAAGTGATGGTAGTGTCAAATGTGTTAAAGGTGTTAAAGGTGATACGGCAAGTGTTAAATGTGTTTAAGGTGATCCAGTAAGTGTTAAAGGTGATCCAGCAAGTGTTAAAGGTGTTAAAGGTGTAATAGTAGAATTATTGTAACTACCAGACAGAGCTGATTGTAGGTGTTATGAGTGGACAGCTGAGTTAAGAACTGTTGGAGATGACTGTGTAGATCTACTTCGTTCAGTGGGTCGTCTTTAGTGTCTTCGTCCTGAATAATTTCATAAATATACACTAATATACATTACAATTATACACATTAGTGTTGATGTATATTACACATTAGTGCTGATGTATATTACACATTAGTGTTGATGTACATTACACATTAGTATTAATGTACATTATACATTAACGCTTACACGCCGATCAGTGACTTGTATATACTAGTTAATTAATTAATCAGCTAATTGTTGCTAATTAACGAGTTAGTAAACCTCATCATCGTCATCTCCCAACATGTGAGCAAGTTGGGCGATAGAAACGAACTGAGTTTCCACATCCTCCTCCTCCTCCTCATCATCCTCCTCATCACTAATGTCTCCGTTCCTCTCTGCTTCTAATTCCTCCAACACGTTACCTGTAATTAAGTACCTTACTGGACACTATTTCCTCGCATGTAACTGTAATGATTCGCTGTGTATCTGGTTAGTGCAGGAGCCTATAGGGGGGGGGGGGGGGGCGGGGTGTAGGGATCCCCCCACCCCAGCTCAGATGTATGATCTAGTGTAATTCACCTGATCTCACGTAATGAGTACATACAGGTGCAGTGGTAAATAAATATTCTAAATAGGAAGAATTAAGCAGAATTTAACCGATATTATATCCACAGATATCCGGTTTAAAGTTATTTCCTAGCAAATTATACTCTAGTAGCAGGGTGTAGTAGGATATTAGCTTCAGAATTTACGTGATGATCTAACTGATTTATCAACATCTAATTACGTTAACTACTTCATCTAATGATATCATTATACCTAAACTTATCGGCATTTCAACTACGTACATTCCTGAGAGAGAAATGTAAAACTAGAATGTATTGAGAAATGTAAAAATAGAATGTATTGAGAAATGTAAAACTAGAATGTAATTTTACTAGAATGTATTGAGAAATGTAAAACTAGAATGTATTGAGAAATGTAAAGCTAGAATGTATTGAGAAATGTAAAACTAGAATGTATTGAGAAATGTAAAACTAGAATGTAATTTAACTAGAATGTATTGAGAAATGTAAAACTAGAATGTATTGAGAAATGTAAAACTAGAATGTATTGAGAAATGTAAAACTAGAATGTAATTTAACTAGAATGTATTGAGAAATGTAAAACTAGAATGTATTGAGAAATGTAAAACTAGAATGTATTGAGAAATGTAAAACTAGAATGTATTGAGAAATGTAAAGCTAGGTAGCTCAGTTGGTTAGAGCGCAGTTCTTAGAACGCCAGCAATCGTTAGGTTGCAAGTTCAATACCCGCTGTCTACCTAGTCGTGGGGTGAGCGTCGTCGACGTTCTGCTAAGGATCCCATAGGATTTATGCAGCCTCCCGGTCCACCCAGCCGAATGCTCGAGAAATCGTGTGTGAGGGTTAAATGGGGAGCTGTGCAATATAGTACAGCGAAAAAGCAAAAACTCAATGGATGGTTACCGTAATGGGTGCCACATGCCTAGCATGAAATATTTACCTACTTACTTGCACTTGTGTAGGTCTGTAGAAGCATTAGAATCGGGCGTTGCCTACCATAGGCTATCCCGAATTTAGAAGCTTGCTTTCATCATAGTAGTAGTAATGTAAAACTAGAATGTATTGAGAAATGTAAAGCTAGAATGTATTGAGAAATATAAACTAGAAAGTATTGAGAAATGTAAAACTAGAATGTATTGAGAAATGTAAAACTAGAATGTATTGAGAAATGTAAGCTAGAATGTATTGAGAAATGTAAAACTAGAATGTATTGAGAAATATAAACTAGAAAGTATTGAGAAATGTAAAACTAGAATGTATTGAGAAATGTAAAACTAGAATGTATTGAGAAATATAAACTAGAATGTATTGAGAAATGTAAAACTAGAATGTATTGAGAAATGTAAAATAAGAATGTATTGAGAAATATAAACTAGAATGTATTGAGAAATGTAAAACTAGAATGTATTGAGAAATGTAAAACTAGAATGTATTGAGAAATATAAACTAGAAAGTATTGAGAAATGTAAAACTAGAATGTATTGAGAAATATAAACTAGAAAGTATTGAGAAATGTAAAACTAGAATGTATTGAGAAATTTAAAACTAGAATGTATTGAGAAATGTAAAATTAGAATGTATTGAGAAATATAAACTAGAATGTATTGAGAAATGTAAAACTAGAATGTATTGAGAAATGTAAAGCTAGAATGTATTGAGAAATATAAACTAGAAAGTATTGAGAAATGTAAAACTAGAATGTATTGAGAAATGTAAAACTAGAATGTATTGAGAAATGTAAAGCTAGAATGTATTGAGAAATGTAAAACTAGAAAGAAATGTAAAACTAGAATGTATTGAGAAATGTAAAGCTAGGTAGCTCAGTTGGTTAGAGCGCAGTTCTTAGAACGCCAGCAATCGTTAGGTTGCAAGTTCAATACCCGCTGTCTACCTAGTCGTGGGGTGAGCGTCGTCGACGTTCTGCTAAGGATCCCATAGGATTTATGCAGCCTCCCGGTCCACCCAGCCGAATGCTCGAGAAATCGTGTGTGAGGGTTAAATGGGGAGCTGTGCAATATAGTACAGCGAAAAAGCAAAAACTCAATGGATGGTTACCGTAATGGGTGCCACATGCCTAGCATGAAATATTTACCTACTTACTTGCACTTGTGTAGGTCTGTAGAAGCATTAGAATCGGGCGTTGCCTACCATAGGCTATCCCGAATTTAGAAGCTTGCTTTCATCATAGTAGTAGTAATGTAAAACTAGAATGTATTGAGAAATGTAAAGCTAGAATGTATTGAGAAATATAAACTAGAAAGTATTGAGAAATGTAAAACTAGAATGTATTGAGAAATGTAAAACTAGAATGTATTGAGAAATGTAAGCTAGAATGTATTGAGAAATGTAAAACTAGAATGTATTGAGAAATATAAACTAGAAAGTATTGAGAAATGTAAAACTAGAATGTATTGAGAAATGTAAAACTAGAATGTATTGAGAAATATAAACTAGAATGTATTGAGAAATGTAAAACTAGAATGTATTGAGAAATGTAAAATTAGAATGTATTGAGAAATATAAACTAGAATGTATTGAGAAATGTAAACTAGAAAGTATTGAGAAATGTAAAACTAGAATGTATTGAGAAATATAAACTAGAAAGTATTGAGAAATGTAAAACTAGAATGTATTGAGAAATTTAAAACTAGAATGTATTGAGAAATGTAAAATTAGAATGTATTGAGAAATATAAACTAGAATGTATTGAGAAATGTAAAACTAGAATGTATTGAGAAATGTAAAGCTAGAATGTATTGAGAAATATAAACTAGAAAGTATTGAGAAATGTAAAACTAGAATGTATTGAGAAATGTAAAACTAGAATGTATTGAGAAATGTAAAGCTAGAATGTATTGAGAAATGTAAAACTAGAAAGAAATGTAAAACTAGAATGTATTGAGAAATGTAAAACTAGAATGTATTGAGAAATGTAAAGCTAGAATGTATTGAGAAATGTAAAACTAGAATGTATTGAGAAATGTAAAACTAGAATGTATTGAGAAATGTAAAATTAGAATGTATTGAGAAATGTAAAACTAGAATGTATTGAGAAATGTAAAACTAGAATGTATTGAGAAATGTAAAGCTAGAATGTATTGAGAAATGTAAAACTAGAATGTATTGAGAAATGTAAAACTAGAATGTAATTTAACTAGAATGTATTGAGAAATGTAAAACTAGAATGTATTGAGAAATGTAAAACTAGAATGTATTGAGAAATGTAAAACTAGAATGTAATTTAACTAGAATGTATTGAGAAATGTAAAACTAGAATGTATTGAGAAATGTAAAAATAGAATGTATTGAGAAATGTAAAGCTAGAATGTATTGAGAAATGTAAAACTAGAATGTATTGAGAAATGTAAAACTAGAATGTAATTTAACTAGAATGTATTGAGAAATGTAAAACTAGAATGTATTGAGAAATGTAAAACTAGAATGTATTGAGAAATGTAAAACTAGAATGTAATTTAACTAGAATGTATTGAGAAATGTAAAACTAGAATGTATTGAGAAATGTAAAACTAGAATGTATTGAGAAATTTAAAACTAGAATGTATTGAGAAATTTAAAATTAGAATGTATTGAGAAATATAAACTAGAATGTATTGAGAAATGTAAAACTAGAATGTATTGAGAAATGTAAAGCTAGAATGTATTGAGAAATATAAACTAGAAAGTATTGAGAAATGTAAAACTAGAATGTATTGAGAAATGTAAAACTAGAATGTATTGAGAAATGTAAAGCTAGAATGTATTGAGAAATGTAAAACTAGAAAGTATTGAGAAATGTAAAACTAGAATGTATTGAGAAATGTAAAACTAGAATGTATTGAGAAATGTAAAGCTAGAATGTATTGAGAAATGTAAAACTAGAATGTATTGAGAAATGTAAAACTAGAATGTATTGAGAAATGTAAAATTAGAATGTATTGAGAAATGTAAAACTAGAATGTATTGAGAAATGTAAAACTAGAATGTATTGAGAAATGTAAAGCTAGAATGTATTGAGAAATGTAAAACTAGAATGTATTGAGAAATGTAAAACTAGAATGTAATTTAACTAGAATGTATTGAGAAATGTAAAACTAGAATGTATTGAGAAATGTAAAACTAGAATGTATTGAGAAATGTAAAACTAGAATGTAATTTAACTAGAATGTATTGAGAAATGTAAAACTAGAATGTATTGAGAAATGTAAAAATAGAATGTATTGAGAAATGTAAAGCTAGAATGTATTGAGAAATGTAAAACTAGAATGTATTGAGAAATGTAAAACTAGAATGTAATTTAACTAGAATGTATTGAGAAATGTAAAACTAGAATGTATTGAGAAATGTAAAACTAGAATGTATTGAGAAATGTAAAACTAGAATGTATTGAGAAATGTAAAACTAGAATGTATTGAGAAATATAAACTAGAAAGTATTGAGAAATGTAAAACTAGAATGTATTGAGAAATGTAAAACTAGAATGTATTGAGAAATATAAACTAGAAAGTATTGAGAAATATAAACTAGAAAGTATTGAGAAATGTAAAACTAGAAAGTATTGAGAAATGTAAAACTAGAATGTATTGAGAAATGTAAAACTAGAATGTATTGAGAAATATAAACTAGAAAGTATTGAGAAATGTAAAACTAGAATGTATTGAGAAATTTAAAACTAGAATGTATTGAGAAATGTAAAATTAGAATGTATTGAGAAATATAAACTAGAATGTATTGAGAAATGTAAAACTAGAATGTATTGAGAAATGTAAAGCTAGAATGTATTGAGAAATATAAACTAGAAAGTATTGAGAAATGTAAAACTAGAATGTATTGAGAAATGTAAAACTAGAAAGTATTGAGAAATGTAAACTAGAATGTATTGAGAAATGTAAAACTAAAATGTATTGAGAAATATAAAGCTAGAATGTATTGAGAAATATAAAACTAGAATGTATTGAGAAATGTAAAACTAGAATGTATTGAGAAATGTAAAACTAGAATGTATTGAGAAATATAAAGCTAGAATGTATTGAGAAATATAAAACTAGAATATATTGACAAATATAAAGCTAAAGTAAAGTAGTAGAATTATGTAACCTACCGCTCAAAAGTACTAACATGTTACAGTAACACTATACACTAGCATGTTAAGGCCAGAGGGGGGGGGGGGGGGGGTAAATGGCGCTTTTCTAGTTTTCACATATTTGATAATAGCTGCTGGAGACAAGAAGAAAAAACCGGATCAAAATCTGACCTTGCGTTCCTGAGATATCGCGCGCTAAATTTGGAAGTTTACCTGTAATTACATGTTAAACTGGATATCTAAACTGCTGTAACTTTTTTGACCTTTCGATTCCTTAGTTGAGAAAACCAGCCACTCCCTGATCTTGAGGTTTGGTACAGTGGTTCCTTGGACAATTATCCTCATATCTGATGCAGCGATTTTCTATTTGACTCGGTTCTCAAATTATGAGGTTAACCATGTCAAAAATTCGAAAAATTTAGTTGAAAGCCGCAAAAGTGTGTTTTGAGATAGATGCAATTTAGTGTTTTCAAAATTTGGAATTATTACTGGGATGTGTTATATTTCGTTAGTTAGGAGTATGTATACACTTTATATCGTTTTCTTGATTAAACCTGGCCATTCCCTTAATGATTTTAGCCACTTTCAGTAGTTCATGTCCTCGTATTGTAAAAAATGAGTTTAACCAAGACTTCCTGTAAACACTAACTGCTTGAAAGTAGTAAAAATTTGGTTATTAACCTCGCTATAGACCATATAACACTGAGATTGGTTTATCAATATGTTATTATATACGTAGTAAAACATTTGTACAGTGTAACGATTAAGTTTTTGAGGTTAACATGTAATTGACTGGTCAGATATTCAAAAAATAAGAGGTTAACCTCATTTTTTAGCCATTTACGGGTAAAATCTTCTACTAAAATATGGTCAGTTCGAATCACCTTTGTCACATGATTATAGTTGTAGGCATTGTGATACCAATAGATACCTCACTGCGATATTGTGGTACATTACATAAGTAAGAATCGTATGTATATTCCCTACGGTACCAAAATGTGATGGTTAACCTCATTTTTTCACTTTCCCAAGAAGCCAAGATAAAAGAAAGTCAATCAACACACCATCTATAGAGAAATGTGTATACCGTAAACTTACGATGAAAATAATAACTCTATCACTTTATCTTAAAAAGAGGTTAACCTCATTTAATCACGTTTGCATATTACCTTTTCTGACAATTATGAACCTAAAATTTAGAGTTTACATTTGCTGAAAAAATATTAACCTCAATTTTATTAACCTCAATGTTGTTTAGTCAATTTTGTGAAAATCGGTTAACCTCAATTATTAAAAAATTTAAATAATATTTTGGTCATTTTTTTGACCCCTTACCCCCTCTGGCCTTAACACTATACACACTACACACACTACACACTTTAGATTTGTTTGGAGAGGCGAATCATTCACAGTTTAGGCTCTTGAAATCTTCGAATTAAAAATCATCTTGAGAGAACCTCCAAATTATTTGTTATATAGCTAGTAGTGTTGAAAGTATTAAACACACTACACACTATACATACACTATATAGTACACCCCAGTAATTCTTCCCGCCATTTAAAGAAGCGGCAACCAGCTTAATGATTTACACGGCTGTATTACAGTGTAGCACTATATTATATATACACGTAGAAATCAACAGTTGACATACGGTACATACCGTACGCCATTTCTAGCTTTCTATCTTATTTTAGAGGGAGAAATAACGCAGAGCAAGTTATATACAGGGTGAGTCAAAAAACTATACACTTTGTAATTTAATAATTTAAATTAGAAAGCTTATCCCAATCTTTGTGAACATTTCTAGTCAATAAGTCTGGACATTTTCCTGATAGTTTTTAGGAATCGGCCAAATATTTTTTCCACAATCGGCAACACCCTGGAATACCCATTTAGAAATCCTTGCATTTATCAATTTAACCCTAATATTCGGCTATCTAATTAGGACTCCAAATAAAAATATATGGTATTCTGAATGTCAGAAATCGATTTACCGCGCCCAAATTTACCGCAAACCCCGATATACCGCGGTGATCTCCTTTCCCCTAAATAGGGCTTAACAAGTATAATGTAAACAAACAAACCCCGATTTACCGCGGATGCATCGGATGTTTCCTTTCCCCCAAACTCCGCGGTAAATCGGGGTTTTACTGTACATGTCAGTATGATATCTATTTGCAAAGTAACGACTCATGAGTCATGATTGTGTAACATTAAAACTAACCGAACTCCTGTACGAGTATCTTGAATATCTTGACAGTGATAGGTATCATAGTGGGACCCTGTTGAGCTTTAGTGGAACGTGTAATCCTCCCCCCTTCTAGCGATATCTCCTCATCAGACACCATTATGTGAGAGAGGGGTGAATCCTGCGCCAGGAGGTGGGGCAGGAACTTAGTGAGGGCTATTACTGCTACCTTAGTTTCATACTCCCCTGTAAACATCTCCTGGATCTCACACCTGGGAGGCAAATAGTTTACTTTTATATTATATTTAAAGTACTTTATATTACACTAGAAAGCCCGTGATCACAGGCTAATAGTATTCTTTGATAGTCAGTTTTTATCGCATAAAAAAATATCCGTCACAACCGAAGACACAGCCGATCAAGATGTAGCTCGCACTGACCACAACGTAATTACCACAAAACCGATCAAAATGACGTTCCAACAATCATTGCACGTGCGCGTTCAACACTGTTACCATGGTTACTATGCAACCTTTTGCTTTTTACCTAATTTGCACGTGGGCGGTCGTACAAAAATAATTCTTTGAATTATAATATAGACTAGAAAGCCCGTGGTCACAGGGAGGAAGTTAATAGTATTCTTTGGTAGTCAGTTTTTATCGCATCAAAAAATAACCTTCACAACCGAAGATACAGCCGATTATAATGTAGCTAGCACTGAACACAACGTAATTACTACAAAGTCGATCAAAATGTCGCTCACAAATCTTTGCACGTGCACGTGCATGTAACACCGTTACTATGGTTACTACGCAACTTGTATTTGTTTACCTAATTTGCACGTGGGCAAAAATTATAGTAGAGATTATATATAAGTACTAAGTACTTGATATTATAATATTATATAAGTAATATTATATAAGTACTAAGTACTTTATATTATATTAGCTGAAGACGATTTACACATGTATTTTGAAAGCTCCTGCTAAAACAAACTTTTCGTATCACTTATATGTTTTAAATAATCCCCCTCCAGGTATATTATATTATATAATACTAAGTACTTTATATTATATTAGTTATATTATATAAGTACTAAATACTTTATACTATATTATTATATTATATTATGTATACTATATAGTATATATTACTATAAGTACTTTATATTATAGTACTATAGCGGTGGGCGCTACACCAATGCCGTTAAATTCACATTAACGTATTTTTATCCTGTATTTGCCGAATTTTTTCGAAAAATACGGGAAATGTCATAATTAATCTGTTTTAAAGCTAGGGTCCAACACTCGAAACTGCAAATGTAAGTAACCCTAACAAACCTAACAAAGTAACAAACCATGATTTTAGAACGAAGACGAGACCGTTTTCTCCAGTTGGCGTGTTGATGGACTGAAGGAAGGACATGGAACCTTCTAGATCGTGGTTAAAGAGCTTAATAAACACTACTAACAAGCTCTGCTGGATTGTAGGCGACTCACTGAAAGTTAACTGTGATAAAGTAAAACAATAAACAATTGAAACAATAAACAATTCTAACAGTGAACAATTTAAACAGTGAACAATTGAAACAGTGAACAATTGAAACAGTGAACAATTGAGACAGTGTCCAGTGAACAAGTAACAAATAATATGTCTGAACAAATAAGTGGTTATAACTGCTTGCGATCTCATTTAGAAGTGTTGAATATTACTATAGTATTATATATAGTTAGTGTTAAATGTGCAGTTAGAATCGCTCAGTGCATAAAACAAGGTTACCAGTTTAAGGTTTTTTCTACACATCAATTATTTTCATAGTAGTAACCGTGTATTAGTAATTGTGATACATTTTTATCATCATTTTAACTTTTAACATAACGTTATATAAACGTCACACCTTACACTAAATTGATAAAATTAGGGTATTTAAATACAGTGATAAAATACCACAAAAAAGTATCGAACACATTAGGATGCAGTATATTAACAATTAAATCCCCCCCTTCCCCATATGCGTAACATATTAACAACAGATCCCCCTTGGCCTTATGCGATTATGCGATATACGTACCATTTAGTGAGTTTGTTAAGAACAGCTTGCAGGATCTTACCATTTAGTGAGTTTGTTAAGAACAGCTTGCAGGATCTGGTTGATGTTGAGAGCTGCTCCAGCGTGTTTAATAAGACTGGATACCAATCTGCCGGAGTAAAGTGCCCCGTACTCGCTCATTTCCGGGTCTAACATCTTAGCAATGAGCTGCATAGTGTACTCCATACCAGTTATACCATTAATAGTTAGAGCGGTGACTTGCTGGAATCCCAGCGCGAGACACGCGCGCACACACTCCCCGCCACTCTGCAATATAGCTGTACTGTCCTTCACACACCCTATTGTAAGAGCCATCGCGGCCGGGAACACTTCCTTAATATACACCTGGGGGAGGGGAGATTAGTGAGGTATACACCTGGGGGAGAGGGGATTAGTGAGGTATACACTTGGGGGAGGGGAGATTAGTGAGGTATACACCTGGGGGAGGGGAGATTAGTGAGGTATACACCTGGGGGAGGGGAGATTAGTGAGGTATACACCTGGGGGAGGGGAGATTAGTGAGGTATACACCTGGGGGAGGGGAGATTAGTGAGGTATACACCTGGGGGAGGGGAGATTAGTGAGGTATACACCTGGGGGAGGGGAGATTAGTGAGGTATACACCTGGGGGAGGGGAGATTAGTGAGGTATACACCTGGGGGAGGGAAGATTAGTGAGGTATACACCTGGGGGAGGGGAGATTAGTGAGGTATACACCTGGGGGAGGGGAGATTAGTGAGGTATACACCTGGGGGAGGGGAGATTAGTGAGGTATACACCTGGGGGAGGGGAGATTAGTGAGGTATACACCTGGGGGAGGGGAGATTAGTGAGGTATACACCTGGGGGAGGGGAGATTAGTGAGGTATACACCTGGGGGAGGGGGGATTAGTGAGGTATACACCTGGGGGAGGGGAGATTAGTGAGGTATACACCTGGGGGAGGGGAGATTAGTGAGGTATACACCTGGGGAGGGGAGATTAGTGAGGTATACACCTGGGGAGAGGGGAGATTAGTGAGGTATACACCTGGGGGAGGGGAGATTAGTGAGGTATACACCTGGGGAGAGGGGAGATTAGTGAGGTATACACCTGGGGGAGGGGAGATTAGTGAGGTATACACCTGGGGGAGGGGGGATTAGTGAGGTATACACCTGGGGGCGGGGAGATTAGTGAGGTATACACCTGGGGGAGGGGAGATTAGTGAGGTATACACCTGGGGGAGGGGAGATTAGTGAGGTATACACCTGGGGGAGGGGGGATTAGTGAGGTATACACCTGGGGGAGGGGAGATTAGTGAGGTATACACCTGGGGGAGGGGAGATTAGTGAGGTATACACCTGGGGGAGGGGAGATTAGTGAGGTATACACCTGGGGGAGGGGAGATTAGTGAGGTATACACCTGGGGGAGGGGGGATTAGTGAGGTATACACCTGGGGGCGGGGAGATTAGTGAGGTATACACCTGGGGGAGGGGAGATTAGTGAGGTATACACCTGGGGGAGGGGAGATTAGTGAGGTATGCACCTAGGGGAGGGGAGATTAGTGAGGTATACACCTGGGGGAGGGGAGATTAGTGAGGTATACACCTGGGGGAGGGGAGATTAGTGAGGTATACACCTGGGGAGGGGAGATTAGTGAGGTATACACCTGGGGAGAGGGGAGATTAGTGAGGTATACACCTGGGGGAAGGGAGATTAGTGAGGTATACACCTGGGGGGAGGGGAGATTAGTGAGGTATACACCTGGGGGAGGGGAGATTAGTGAGGTATACACCTGGGGGGAGGGGAGATTAGTGAGGTATACACCTGGGGGAGGGGAGATTAGTGAGGTATACACCTGGGGGAGGGGAGATTAGTGAGGTATACACCTGGGGGAGGGGAGATTAGTGAGGTATACACCTGGGGGAGGGGAGATTAGTGAGGTATACACCTGGGGGAGGGGAGATTAGTGAGGTATACACCTGGGGGAGGGGAGATTAGTGAGGTATACACCTGGGGGAGGGGAGATTAGTGAGGTATACACCTGGGGGAGGGGAGATTAGTGAGGTATACACCTGGGGGAGGGGAGATTAGTGAGGTATACACCTGGGGGAGGGGAGATTAGTGAGGTATACACCTGGGGGAGGGAAGATTAGTGAGGTATACACCTGGGGGAGGGGAGATTAGTGAGGTATACACCTGGGGGAGGGGAGATTAGTGAGGTATACACCTGGGGGAGGGGAGATTAGTGAGGTATACACCTGGGGGAGGGGAGATTAGTGAGGTATACACCTGGGGGAGGGGAGATTAGTGAGGTATACACCTGGGGGAGGGGAGATTAGTGAGGTATACACCTGGGGGAGGGGAGATTAGTGAGGTATACACCTGGGGGAGGGGAGATTAGTGAGGTATACACCTGGGGGAGGGGGGATTAGTGAGGTATACACCTGGGGGAGGGGAGATTAGTGAGGTATACACCTGGGGGAGGGGAGATTAGTGAGGTATACACCTGGGGAGGGGAGATTAGTGAGGTATACACCTGGGGAGAGGGGAGATTAGTGAGGTATACACCTGGGGGAGGGGAGATTAGTGAGGTATACACCTGGGGAGAGGGGAGATTAGTGAGGTATACACCTGGGGGAGGGGAGATTAGTGAGGTATACACCTGGGGGAGGGGAGATTAGTGAGGTATACACCTGGGGGAGGGGAGATTAGTGAGGTATACACCTGGGGGAGGGGGGATTAGTGAGGTATACACCTGGGGGAGGGGAGATTAGTGAGGTATACACCTGGGGGAGGGGAGATTAGTGAGGTATACACCTGGGGAGGGGAGATTAGTGAGGTATACACCTGGGGAGAGGGGAGATTAGTGAGGTATACACCTGGGGGAAGGGAGATTAGTGAGGTATACACCTGGGGGGAGGGGAGATTAGTGAGGTATACACCTGGGGGAGGGGAGATTAGTGAGGTATACACCTGGGGAGGGGAGATTAGTGAGGTATACACCTGGGGGAGGGGGGATTAGTGAGGTATACACCTGGGGGAGGGGAGATTAGTGAGGTATACACCTGGGGGAGGGGAGATTAGTGAGGTATACACCTGGGGGAGGGGAGATTAGTGAGGTATACACCTGGGGGAGGGGAGATTAGTGAGGTATACACCTGGGGGAGGGGAGATGAGTGAGGTATACACCTGGGGGAGGGGGGATTAGTGAGGTATACACCTGGGGGAGGGGAGATTAGTGAGGTATACACCTGGGGGAGGGGAGATTAGTGAGGTATACACCTGGGGAGGGGAGATTAGTGAGGTATACACCTGGGGAGAGGGGAGATTAGTGAGGTATACACCTGGGGGAAGGGAGATTAGTGAGGTATACACCTGGGGGGAGGGGAGATTAGTGAGGTATACACCTGGGGGAGGGGAGATTAGTGAGGTATACACCTGGGGAGGGGAGATTAGTGAGGTATACACCTGGGGGAGGGGGGATTAGTGAGGTATACACCTGGGGGAGGGGAGATTAGTGAGGTATACACCTGGGGGAGGGGAGATTAGTGAGGTATACACCTGGGGGAGGGGAGATTAGTGAGGTATACACCTGGGGAGGGGAGATTAGTGAGGTATACACCTGGGGGAGGGGGGATTAGTGAGGTATACACCTGGGGGAGGGGAGATTAGTGAGGTATACACCTGGGGAGGGGAGATTAGTGAGGTATACACCTGGGGGAGGGGGGATTAGTGAGGTATACACCTGGGGGAGGGGAGATTAGTGAGGTATACACCTGGGGGAGGAGAGATTAGTTAGGTATAAACCTGGGGAGGGGAGATTAGTGAGGTATACACCTGGGGAGAGGGGAGATTAGTGAGGTATACACCTGGGGGAAGGGAGATTAGTGAGGTATACACCTGGGGAGAGAGGAGATTAGTGAGGTATACACCTGGGGGAGGGGAGATTAGTGAGGTATACACCTGGGGGAGGGGAGATTAGTGAGGTATACACCTGGGGGAGGGGAGATTAGTGAGGTATACACCTGGGGGAGGGGAGATTAGTGAGGTATACACCTGGGGGAGGGGAGATTAGTGAGGTATACACCTGGGGGAGGGGAGATTAGTGAGGTATACACCTGGGGGAGGGGAGATTAGTGAAGTATACACCTGGGGCGGGGAGATTAGTGAGGTATACACCTGGGGGAGGGGAGATTAGTGAGGTATACACCTGGGGGAGGGGAGATTAGTGAGGTATACACCTGGGGAGGGGAGATTAGTGAGGTATACACCTGGGGAGAGGGGAGATTAGTGAGGTATACACCTGGGGGAGGGGAGATTAGTGAGGTATACACCTGGGGGAGGGGACATTAGTGAGGTATACACCTGGGGGAGGGGACATTAGTGAGGTATACACCTGGGGGCGGGGAGATTAGTGAGGTATACACCTGGGGGAGGGGAGATTAGTGAGGTATACACCTGGGGGAGGGGAGATTAGTGAGGTATACACCTGGGGGAGGGGAGATTAGTGAAGTATACACCTGGGGGCGGGGAGATTAGTGAGGTATACACCTGGGGGAGGGGACATTAGTGAGGTATACACCTGGGGGAGGGGAGATTAGTGAGGTATACACCTGGGGGAGGGGATATTAGTGAGGTATACACCTGGGGGAGGGGAGATTAGTGAGGTATAAACCTGGGGGAGGGGACATTAGTGAGGTATACACCTGGGGGCGGGGAGATTAGTGAGGTATACACCTGGGGGAGGGGATATTAGTGAGGTATACACCTGGCCTGGGGGAGGGGAGATTAGTGAGGTATACACCTGGGGGAGGGGAGATTAGTGAGGTATACACCTGGGGGAGGGGAGATTAGTGAAGTATACACCTGGGGGCGGGGAGATTAGTGAGGTATACACCTGGGGGAGGGGACATTAGTGAGGTATACACCTGGGGGAGGGGAGATTAGTGAGGTATACACCTGGGGGAGGGGATATTAGTGAGGTATACACCTGGGGGAGGGGAGATTAGTGAGGTATAAACCTGGGGGAGGGGACATTAGTGAGGTATACACCTGGGGGCGGGGAGATTAGTGAGGTATACACCTGGGGGAGGGGATATTAGTGAGGTATACACCTGGCCTGGGGGAGGGGAGATTAGTGAGGTATACACCTGCACCTAGGGGAGGGGAGATTAGTGAGGTATACACCTGGGGGAGGGGAGATTAGTGAGGTATACACCTGGGGGAGGGGAGATTAGTGAGGTATACACCTGGGGAGGGGGATTAGTGAGGTATACACCTGGGGAGAGGGGAGATTAGTGAGGTATACACCTGGGGGAGGGGAGATTAGTGAGGTATACACCTGGGGGAGGGGAGATTAGTGAG